ACTACCTTCTCAGGCGTCGCATTCGCCTTTGCTACCAACACCGAGGCCAAGGAAGACATCATCACCGAATGGCCTGGCGCCGGTAACCAGACAAAGCAGAAGGTGCGACCCACATGACCACATCGACGTGACAGGACTAATGCGCCGCAGATTCCCACCGTCCTCTACTACGACCAGTACCAGAAAGTAGTAGGATGGGGCCCTGACATCGCCGATGCTTTGGCCCCCACGGGCTACCCCAAGCCTGGTGTGCAAAAGGTCGAGTGGTTCAAGCTGCAGCTTATGCTGTCCGGAAACACATACATCGACCCCATCAACCTTCCACCGCTACCTCCTGGCAAGTCCGAGATCGATGTCGCCGCCGACTACCTCTTCCACCTGCGCCAGGCAATGCGCAACCAGCTGCAAAAGACGCTTGGTGAGGTTTTCAACCGAGAGGAGCGCAACATCAGATACTACCTCACGGTACCTGCCATCTGGAACGATGCTGGAAAGGCTGCAACGCGCGCGGCTGCCATTCAGGCTGGTTTCTTGCGGGACGAAAACGACAACAGATTGACACTCATCACCGAACCCGAAGCCGCCGCCATGTTCTGTTCAAAGACTGGTCTGCTCAACCTCAAGATACACGACGCCGTTCTCATCGTCGATTGTGGTGGTGGAACCGTCGATTTGATTGCCTACGAAGTCGAAGAAGAGCAGCCCTTCTCCGTCGCCGAGTGCACAGCTGGATCCGGAGACTCGTGCGGTTCCACTGCGCTCAATCGCAACTTCAGCAACATTCTCCGAGCCAAGATCAGGAAGATGAAACTCCCAGATGGTTCCAAAACCGCCGGCAAGGTGTATGCCAAGTGTATCATGGATTTTGAGAATAGGATAAAAGCCGATTTCCGAAACAATGGTCAGAAATGGGCCGTCGACGTTGGTATCGAGGCAGAGTTCCCCGAGGCTGGCATCGAAGAAGGGTATATGACTTTCACGAACGAGGAGATTCTGCAGTGCTTTGAGCCGGTCGTGAACCGTATCCTTGAGCTTGTCAGGAATCAGATCATCGCCATTCAGGCACAGAACCGGTCATTGCAGGTGAGCAACACGAGATTGAAGCTTTTTACATCCAGTACTAATCAGCACAGAACGTCTTGGTTGTCGGTGGTTTTGGAGCCTCTGAATACCTCTTCCAACAAATCAAACTCCACGTCCCACCTCAGTTTCAATCAAAGGTCGTCCGTCCCATGGACTCTGTCGCCGCCATCGTCAAGGGAGCCGTCACAGCAGGTATCACCGAGCGTATCGTCACACACCGTGTTGCACGTAGGCATTACCTCATGGCAACTCTCCAACCCTTCAAAGAGGGCCACCACCCCGAACAATACCGAGTCCCATCTCTTGACGGCAAGGATCGCTGCAAGTACACACGCCAAATCTTTGTGCAAAAGGGACAAAGAGTCAAGATCGGCGAGCCGGTTAAAGTCTCGTTCTTCAGACAAGTTGCACCCGGCGCTACACTTATGTACGAGGATATACTCTATGCGTGTGATGACGATGTTTGCCCAGAATACACCAAAGACCCTCGTAAGTTGAGAGAGATTATCCAACGAAGAAAACATCTTGCTAACGGCCAAGTAGGTATCAAGGAAGTTGTCACACTCACTTCTGATCTCTCACGAAAGAATCTCGAAAAGGATTTTGAACGCATGGACACGCCCCAAGGTACTTTTTACCGTGTCTACTTTGACATTTACCTTACTCTCGATGGCTCGGAGTTCAATGCCGAGCTGGTTTGCCAGGGCGAGGTCATGGGCAGGTGTACTGCGCGATTCAGGTAGAGTGTGGGTTGGTAATGCGTGGAACGCCCGTAAAAGTTTACCCGACTGGTTTGCTAATCTGATGGAGAGACCATATTTTTGGACATCTTATCTAAATATCGGCAGGATGTATGGGCTAGATGGGGACACGATTGCGACTCTTTGTTCTGCGCGGATCCTCATCTTCTTGTTGACTTTCTTTTACGATCTGGTTGAGAGCGTCGACGATGTTATCTATACAAGCATACCCCTCAAACGTTTCAATGGCAAAATTCTTCTAATTGTTACACACTAATCTATCCAATATGAGTTCGAGCGCAGTATATCAAAGGTCCTCGCCCGATTGAACTGCGAAGCCTTTCCTAAACTCTGCCGAAATGAGTGTCGCGCACCCTCTAGAGAGCTTTGGCGGTAGCCATTGTCCGACCTAGTTGTATAAGAATTTGACGGTAGGGTCTCGGTGTCGCTGGTCAGCGAGGGAGTGCTGGTGCCAAAGTGATCCCCATCAAAGTCTGCAAAGAGGGATTGGTCAATGGAAGAGTCGGAGTCACTTTCTGAATGAGTATCAACCGGAGACATGACATCGGGTACTGACGGTACCGCGTACTCGTAGTATCCAAGGCTTGGACGGTTTTCTTCTGAGAAAGAACGTACAGGTGAACTACAGACCGACGCTCCACGGATTACCGGTGATTCCGGATCTAAAGCATCTGAATATGCGTAATGGTCGTCTCCATCGGTTCTTTCTCCAGCATTGGTGTGGTTTTCGTAGGCATAGTCACCTTCATGCGTAGATGAACCTACCGAGAACCTTGAATCGATTGACAATCGACGCTCAACTTTAACAGTCTCGGAACCACTATCTGATATGGAAAAGCGGTAGCTTGCTGGAACTACCTCTGTGATGATGTAGTCATCCAACGAGAATCGTCGAGATGCTGGAATGGCTTCTGGGATGCCATCGGAAACGTCATCTGGTACGCTGGCTTCAGTTGCTGGGTAGCCTGAAGATTGCGAAACCGAACTAGCACTTTCCAGAGAGAATCTCCGAGATGCAGAAACAGCTTCTGGAATGTCCTTTGAAACGTGGTCTGACATACCAAAATCAGTTGCTGCGTAGTTTCGGCGACTTGTCGATAGCGAAGTCAAAGCTGGGCCTGAAGTGGTCTTCAAAACACCGAGATCTTGCCACAGAAGGTACTCATTACGCTGAATGAGGGGCGGCAAACCTGGCTTATCAGCCATGGAAAGCACATCCTTTGTACCACGCAGAGGTGGAGGACGAGGTTCGTTTGCGGCCTCGTTAGTGTGCGTATGCCTTTGAGGACGATTCACCGAGGCAGCATCGTGACGCTGATACTTACAGACCTTCTTTATTGATGTCACTGGTAGCTTTGTTCGTTGCTGTGGTCCTGGAAAGGGAGAGTCTGGACGCTTTGGATGGTACAGGGATTGTTTAGGAGGGGCTTCAAAGATAGTAGTACCTTTAGTACTCTGCCTCCGCGATTGCTTGGTTAGTGGTCGTTTCTTTGTTATCGGAGCATGACCAGTCTGTTGCACTGCAACTGGTGCTGACAGATCGTACTCATCGGCTTCACTACCAGGGCAATATCCAAGATTTGTATACTTCTGAGCGCGTGACTTTAGTCTTGGTCGACGATTGGTTCGGTACCGCACAGCGTTACAACGCTGAAGTTTTACTGTAACCTGAGGAGAAAGCTGCGATGTAGAAACATCCCCTAGCGTTTCATCACCACATGGCTTAGGCAGTCGGTTCTTTGCAGCTGGTACGTCATCAATAGGTGTCGGCAGCAGCGCTGGTCTGAATCGTACCGCTCTACGAGCTTGTGCAAAGAAGGTAGAGACAGCGTTGGCCACTTTTGGTATGCAAAACTGCTCGTTCTGTTTCTTGTCAGGCTCTACACCACGACTTCCAGTATACTCTTCAGCTGTCATGGGAGCCATAATCATACTATCGAGCGAAGGCCGGGGTTGCTGGGCAGAGTCCTGACGAGGCACTGTCATCTCCATGTCCAGTCCCTCACGAAACATGGAGACGCCGGTAGGGTACTGAGCATACCTTGGCTGAGGGCGAGGATACACACGCACAAACTGGCTTTGTTGATTTTCGGGGACTAGAGCAAGGATAGTCTCGATGTCGTGACAAGCGCAACGGGGGTTCTCTGTATGCTTGTGCGCGCGCATTTCCGCGTATGTCAACATAGCCATGCCCGTGACACTGGGTTTCGGCTCATTCGTCGCGCTATCGAGATTACCCTGAGGCTTCGATTTGTGTGTCTTCGCGAAATCCAGATGTTCCATCACCATGTTTAGTGTTTTGAACTTGTAAAAGCTGGGTGTTGAACGTTTGACGGAACCGTGAGTCGCTAGTTGATAGCTCAGTATCTTTCTATTATGTATTGGCCAAAGAGCGTACTGAGCTGTAAGACTACACGGTTGTCTCTGCTTTGACGGGTATGGATGTGTTCCCTAGGAATATATGGGTGATCTTCCTCTTATCATCCGGGATGATTCCAGCAATGTCTGCGAACATATCCAGTATATTCATGTGAATAGACGTGGCGGTGAAATTGACTTACAATGTCTGACATAGTGAACTGATTGATAAATAACTAGAAACAGTCAGACGAATCCACTCGAGTTGCGTTAGTATATATAGCAGCTGGTATCACACGTAAGCTGGATATATAGTGATAGCATGCAGACATCCTCACTAACTACAGCGTCACACCACGAAGGTAAAAGACTATACAAGTCTGTTAGTGGTTGATGGCCCGATATGTAGAAGCTGAGAGAAGCGTCCGAGATTTTAATAAGAGCAGTTTATATCATATTTGTTGTGGGAGTCTAACAATCAGAGATTGGACATTCTCATGTGGACTCTAGTAATGATATGTGACAATATATACGTAAAACTTTGTACTGTGTCGACACTCTGTGCTGGGAGTGAAACTCATCATTCATCATTCTGCTGTCTCTTGGTCGTCTCATAGCGGTGAGACAAAAGAAAAATCCAGCTCATACATATCGCGATATGTCTTGGACTTGAACAAAGTAGCGACCTCATGAAGAGTGTTACAGGACGAGTGGTATATGGCGAAGAAGGAGACATCTGCATTGCTTCCGAAAGTATCATACAAAAAGCAGGGGTATCATGAACTCTTTCACCGGAACTTAGGCCGGTAGGTTGTCAGCCTTACTGAGCCGTCTGACGCCCTCCGCCTTCCTGTCTTCCGCAAGGATAGAGGCGAATTTACTAGCCTTCCTGATCTGCGGGCCCTTCCAATAGAAAACGTAGATCGGCACCACGACCAGACACGACAAGCATGCCAAAAGAGTGGTGGCATACTCAGACTTCTGGGGACTCGTAGATGCGAGATTGTTGTACAGAGGTGTGGCGTACATAGCCGAGATACCGGCGAGGAAATCACGAGCAAACGCGTTTCCGCCAGTGGCTGAAGCCGAGTATGGACCGTACGCAGCGATCATGTAATCGACGGAAGAGTAGTAGATTGCGAAGTTTGCAAGGCCGACGAGGAACGAAAAGATCATTGGTGCTATCCAATGCGTTTGAGGTGGTCCCATACCTGTACACTATTAGTCGAAGTTCAGGTGACTACATTGGAGGCCAACTTACAGGTCCAAGCAAAGCCAAACAGCCCGATGGGCTCAAACAACGCAAGCAACAGAAGTGGTTTCAAACGCCGCTCTGGCGACATCCAGTCAGGGCCATTCTTCTTGCGTAGGTGATCATCGCGCCAGAACCAAGGCCAGTACAGGAAGTATGTGAAGAAGTAGGAGGCGTTGATTGGAATGAACGCCCAAGCTACCTGCAGCGTACCGAAACCAAAGTTGTTCGGGAAAGTGACGTTGAAAGCCTCCAGGAACGTGAAGATCAGAGCGTCAGAGAAACCGGAGAGGAGCGATAGGAGCAACACGATAGGCTCACGGACGAACATCTCAAATGGTCGGAGCCAGATCTTTCCAGCTTCCTTGAGCGAGATTCGCGGCTTCTTGAGTTCGTTTGGTCCATAAACGTTGGGATCTTCGCCAGTCTCACGACGTCTCTTCGCTTCGCGGTCGATAAGAATGGTAGCTCGGCTCTCCGGCATGAAGAAATGCACTGCTTGGACAGCAACACCAAAGATCAATTGGATCCAGAAGTTCCACTGCCATGTAAGGTATTTTTCGATGGGTCCGCCGATTACACCGCCGATAGACGTTCCGATCGTAGAAGACAATACAATAAAGCATAGAGGCCAGTGCTGAGTCTCTGGTTCGTACATGTCGGCAATAAGACCAAGAGTAACACTACCTCCAGCTGTAGAGAGACCACCCTAAAAACAAACATTAGCGCTGGATGTATTCAAAAGGTGGTAAACTTACAAGAGCTCTGCAGACCACGATGGTGCCGAAGTTCGGGGCAACAGAACAGGGGATTTCCCAGATGTTGATGAGCAGCATACTGAGCTGTAGAATGGGCCATCGACCAAATTCCTCGCTCCATGGCGCCCACAGTTCGCACCCAAAGGAGTAGAAGACCAGATAGATCATCTGTCCAACGCGCGCTGCCTGTGCGCTGATTCCGAAATGTTCAGAGATGGGGTTGACAGCGCTAGGATATACCGACGTGTTGAAGTTCATGGAGATTTGAATTCCAGCAATGGAAGCCAAATACATGGCCTTCTTCCACTTTGGCCAGGAGTATGCGAGCTTATCCCAACACTCCCATTCCCTCAACTCGCGCTTTCCGTCTGGACCGGGTACCATGGAGGGGTGGTGGACTCCTTGAGGATCGACGGGGACGTTGACATCCCATTTCTCCTCGTCGCTGGCCTCAGCTGGTACGCTGGGTCGGCGCTCAGAATCATCTTTCTCGGAAACTGGTCCTGTGCCAGCTCGGGCGGGCGAAGGTTGCCTGGACTCGCGTTCCGTCATCGTAAGGTGGAATGAGGAGAGAAAGCTGGAGATGAGACTTGGGGTGCGGGATAGGGTATTAAGGCCCTCTTGAACCCAATAAAAGTCCACATTTGGCATCCACCTCCAGAATGACGTCTGAGTAGAAAGCTCGCAATGAAGAACGACTCTCCACTCAGAGAGGGTCCTGTCAGGGTGGGATCCATTGTTGTCAACCCTTGGCATAAAATGTCGGCCTAAAATTTATCGTTGGGATCGGGGTGATAGATGCCATCGACGATAGGAATGATACAGTGTGTCTCAGGGTGGGCCTAGCTTGTCAACGTCGCGGTGCTCTTTGGCGGTTGTATCTTGTGGACCCAACTATGTGACGACAAGCTTCGTCCATGCAGCGAAAAACTGTTAGTTACTTTCTTAATCCACTTCTTGCCGACGTGCGCGCACCTCCCGACAGGCGAAACGTCCGTAGATCTGCATGCGGCTGAAGATAAGAATGGGTCGAGTGGGTCCCAAACCCGCAAGTTCTCAGGCAGCTAGTGAGGTCGCCCGGTATTGCTTGAATAGTTTGGCTTTTTTGTGTTCGTATGAAATTGAGCATACTTGCTGAAAAGCTGCTCCGCTTTGCCTGTAAAGGAACACATGGAAAGGTCTTTCAGAAGACGACATACGAGTGCCTAACGGAGTCCCAGTGAGGTAGAGCAAAAAGCTCTTTATCGCCTCCAGGTATGACATGTCAGGATGCGGTCTGTCAATTGATCAACATGCCGTAGTCGTCCGATTGGGGTAAAGACGGAAGAGGCTCTGCGGGCAAGCGGGTGAAAACTTTTAGCTCAACTGCATGACATCACAACGCATGAACGCGAGATCCGCCGCGGTTCGCAACACCAACAGCATTCTTCACGATGCGATCGAGAGGGTCTCGACCTACGCTACATATACTATTTGGCGTAAGTTACCCGAAATTTTCAAACTCACAACATTGCCTCGGGTAAGCTCCAATTTTTCATGCCAACGTGCTGCAGGGTTCACTCCCTGAAATTTGAGACGTATTTTACGCACACAGCTCCCACGTGCACGTCGATTGACATGACATCGCGCACTAGCCTTTCCGAGTATCCCTTACTCGTATCCCCACTAAGTTCGACAGACCGTCTAGACTGTGGAGACAACAGGCAGGACGTCATTGAGCACGAGAATGCTGCCACAACACTACGCCCTCTAGATCGACACGACTACTCAGAAATAACAATTGTTGGACGGAACTGGTCAACAGAATAACTCAAACTCAGAATTAGAGTCGAAATCACTGAAAGAGCGTCGTTCCAACATCAAGGACACAACTGTGACTTATTCACAGCGTATATATGGCTTGAACTAACGTAAGCAGAGAGGCACGGATATATTGCCAAGCAGCGGTGCGTTGAGTTTGTGGTTACTCTCCAGAAGTTCAATAACCTGCGGCTGCTGATAAGAAAAGCATCCTACCTAGGTACTAGAGTTCTATTGGAAATTGGCCTCGCGAAGTAGAGCATGAGGACTAGAAGATGAAGTGAAGAGAATCGCCAACCACATATGAACTCAAAGCGGTCCCTTTCGTCTAAATATCATTGTTTCTAATTGAAAGCAGGGAACATCAAAATTGAACTATAAGCAAGGCCAATAGCTATCTCATTAATTTCCGTGAACTATAAAACAACACGCCCAAATCTGAGTGCAGAACCAGCTCAGTATCATCATCCTAGAATTGGTATCACAGCAAAAAAGCATACATTTCTTCCCTCCATAAATTCACCAACGGCTCCCTTACAAAACACCAACGACAGCAGCAACGACCGCAGCAGCAGCTCCAACGTAGCTCTGCGGGCTGAAACCACCAGCAGCAACGTTAGCAGTGGCCTGAGCAGGAGCACCACTGGCAGAACTACTAGCACCACCTGCAGCACCACCAGAGGTACTATCAGTACCAGAGTTCGCGCCACCACCAGCTGAAGGCGAGGTGGGTGTGTTGCCTGTGGCGCCGCCTGAGCCGGCTGCTTGGCCAGGGGACAGGTTCTCCGTAGCTTGAGCGGCGAGAGCGACAAAGGCAGACATTGTTTTATTGCCGGACGTAGGACTGTACGTATATAGTTAGTGGATGTGTTTGGGAATGCGAGAATAATGACTTACGCGTTGATAGCACCGACCATACCAGCTTGGCAATGCTTGCCCTGAGAGCAGTAGAACCAGACTGGCTTCGCATCTGCGACACGGATGGTGTATGTGAGGACTTGACTTGTAGCAGTAACGGAAGCGTTCGTAGGCATGAAGCCAGAGAAGAAGGCATCGGTTTTGTTGGACATGATGTTTTGGATGGGTGTGCATGGGTTGTCGAAGGTAGATTGAACGACTGAGTGGTTCTGTTTAGGAAATGTTAATTAGGTTCCACTCGAAGAAGAGGAAGTGATGGATCAAGATATGACGTACCTTGGGGTGAAATTGGAACTGAACAAGATCTCCTGGCTGTGCGACAACGTTGGAGGGAGAGAAGGTCAGGCTTCCATTTGGACCTCCGACTTGGACGACGTGTGTCATGACCATGCCTGCCATTGCAGATGGCTGAGATGTCGATACGCTGCCCAACACAGCTGAGGAGAGTGTCGGCTGAGTGGCGGAGGCCATGGATACTGAAGCGGACATGGAAGATTCTTGGGCGCACGCGAGGCCGAAGACGGCGGAGAGGATGGTTGCTCTTGAGAAATACATGTTGACTATTGTATGTGATATTCGTTCGTATGGAAAGCGATTTCGATATTAGGTATGCGATTCGTGTTCTGATGCTCAATGTCTCGTCAAGAGAGTGGATGTGCGACTAGCGCTCGGTTTGGATAGGTGAAAGAATATGAAGCTGGACTAGCCAGTCGTTTATTAAAGATTGTGAAGAGGTAAGTAAAGAAAGATTGATGCAAGGAAAATGCAACACAAAGTGATGAGAAACGTGAGAGATGCGGAGGATAAGAAAAAGAGAAGCCTGAGGTGACGGCTATAGGGCCATCTTAAGGCATGACAGATGTGCATGCGTGGCCAGGGCGGTTAGTAGGTGTTCCGATACATGGGGTTGGTGTTGCGACAAGTTGGAGGCGTGGGGTGCTTCAGCCTCCCGGTTCGGCTGAGAACCCTGTAAGTAAGGCTTAAAACGGGTATATTTGAGCGCAGCTTGAAGTTTAGACATCGGCGCTGGACATTTTTAATATTGTGAACAAATCGCTTAAAGGACAATTGAACGTAGTATGTTATAACACCAAGTACACAGATAGAATTGATGTAAAGTAGCGTTGATCATGTCACGATGTTGGTGTTCGTCGTGATGTAGCTGGGTGTTCATGATGCGACGCGCTTCGCGTTACGGCTGTGTTTGAGCCCAACCCCATCGTGCTTCAAGCCGTACGTGGCAACGGCAACCACAAAACCGAATGAGCCAGGCAGCCGGAACATTCGTTTGCGAGATTGTGCATTACATGACTTTCAGGCTGCGCGCGTAAACCTCTTCGACAAGATCTTGGACGCCAGGCAACATTGCAAGATGTTTCAAACGTGTCAGGCGGTTGAGTCCTTCATTTGTCCATGGATCTTTCTGGCCTGATTCTGTATGGTAGTTCGTCCTGTAAACGATTGATGTACATGTCCATGTTTCGGTCTCTTGCCTTCTCTGCCTCTTAACTGCTGTTAGTCGCAAATTGCGCCGAATATCCGCCTTCGCTATGTTTGGCTTATGATGTTCCGAAAATAGCCTGACAACACTGGCGTCCGAAGACAGGCTGTACGAGGTGCATGTATGGTGCGGCACAACTGTCGAGCCACCGCCGTAGTCAGTGTAAAGGGCTGCTCATTGGAGTACAGCCGAATTGTAATCCCAATAGTATGTACAAGCAGGCTTGCATACATCCACATGGCAGCTGGTATCTCTTCTCCTTTCATTGCTGATCCGCGCTGAATTGTCACGTCTTCGTGTACATCCCGCCTTCAAAAGTCCAACACAAGTTGGGGCGCCAGCTTCTCAAGATCCTCTACTTGAAGAAAACCGTCAATGGCACCCCCATCTTTTGCAGACGCTTTCATCTCGTCTTGGCTTCTAAGAAAAGCTTCTGTGACGAAGATGTCAATGTACTTTCCGACCAGCTTCATCGCACCGGTTTGTATTTGTATGTTTAGATCCTCAAAGTTCTCGAGAAGCAGACGTGCGAGGAGAGGTCGTGGTACGACGGGTTCGGAAAGGGCGGGGTTGGCTGGTGGTGGTTTGGGAGCAGCGGGTGCGTCCTCCATTATGTCGTCAAAGTCTGAGAGGTTTAGATCTTCGGCAAGCTCTTCGTCTTGATCATCGTCAGATAGGTCGATTATCTCGGCCGCTGGCTGGAAGCCGTTCTTTGAGCCTGCCGCATTGCTCTTTTTGGCTGGGCCCGTCGCGCGGGAAGCTGCTGCTGGGGCGCGTTTCGTGGTTGTAGATGCCTGGGAAGCCGCGTTGACAGGCCGTGGTGGATTGAACGACGGGCCTTTTCTGCGCGAAGCATTCGCTGTCGCGTTTTTCGGTGGCATCTGAGACGTAATCGGGCCTGCGCTGCGTTGCGAGCGGTCACTTGGTGTGCGAAGTGAGGCGACTGCGGTTGGTGATGATGTCCGCGCCGATCCACACCTGGTCAACACGCCGCGCGCTCTCACGTGGATATTACCTTCACCAGCGCAATGCCATTACTCTGATACAGTAGCACTTTAAACCACACGCTCGCGATGCTCATGGCATTCAGATCGACAGCGCATTCATGGAGCGCGAACAGCAGGCTTGTATTTCCAGGGACAAGCACACTATGTGCATTAATGCTACATAGCCAGCATGATGCACGCCATATTGTGCCAGCTGTATCTCGCTGCACTGTACTGTCATGGATTTGCACGCTTTTTCAACCAAGGTGATAACAGGAGATTGCTTCTGATTGCCAAGCCAACCTCATCCAACCGACCGTTGAACAGGTATAAGAAAACACCGTTATACGGCTAAGGAGAAACACAGACCACGCTTCCTTCGTGTGCCGCCACAAACCCACCTTGAAAGCTTGACAACTTGATCGCGAGCCCAAAAGGCGGGCCGCACGGTTGCGCCATTCAGTTCGTATTGACAATCACGGTTACTTGCGTAGTCTCCGCATTTGATCGAGCCTTCACGATGGGGCTGCAAACTAAAGATACCCGCGAACTTGTGTAATCAAGACGCCATAGTGGCGCCAGAGGGCGGTTTCAACCAGACAAAGAAACGGACCAGCCGTTGAACTATTCTGCTGGTTGAGACGTGAGCCATATGTAGCGAAATGAGATAGAGGTAGTACTATGCGACCGGTAGGGTGCCTCGTTACACGGCGTTGGCAGCAGACATTTCGAAAGGGTCTTGACATGCAGAACGCCTGACACATAGTACATATAGGGGACTGTGCCACGAACAAAGAGGATTTCTTTGGACTGAGGGGGACCTCAGTACTTTTCATTCCGATTGGGTAATGATCGAGTGAGGATTGGAACAGTCATTTCGGAAGAAGTCGAGGCGCAGCGAACATGACAGGCGCAAACTTGGGCGGTTGGCTATCTGCTATGGTGCAACTCCTTACACAGATAGGGAGCCATGCTGTTTGCAACTGTTATCGATGTTCGATCCATTGAATATAAGTGGAGATTGTTAGATCCCGTCGCATTGGGGTCGAGACTCTGAGATGGAAAGGAACTAGTACCTGCATCAGCTGTTTATCTCCCGTCCTTTTGCACTGGGAATCATTTTGGCATTCACATCACGACTGAAGGGTGCATGCTGATGGCTGTTGCAGTGACGGGCTGGTGACTCGTGCGATATTGCGCCCGCCTCGATCTGGCTGGCATAGGCACTTCTGAGTAACATGTGGGCGACGAAGTGTGTTGTGGCTTCGCTCGGCTTCGCTCCGGACTGCGGAGGTAGTGCCTAGGTATCTAGACACAACATGTGCCAGTCACCACCCTCATGCTGTGCGAGCAGGGCGGCTCCAGGTAGAGTAGGGCGGGTGCTGCTTCTTCCCGCTCGCGTAACTCAGAAGAAATCTCGACCAAAAGCGCAGAGACACAGTATGGCACAAGAGGCCCGCCCGCCAAACAGAGGTCGAGACTCCGGAGCGTCCTCCCAAGAGCAGCGGGTCCAGGCTAGGCTGGGTTTGGCGGGGTAGGAGAATGGCCGGTGATGGGGTTAGTGGCAGGCTAGGAGGACAGCGTCAAACCTCGATTGAGTGGTGTTGCGTTGTCGCTGAGATTGATGCCAACGTCTTAGACTAGGGTTGCGTAATGGCGGACTACGGGGTCGCCCTTTCCCCTGTGGGAGGTGCTATTTTGAACTGGCAGTCGCGCGTTGGGTTAGGGAAGCGCAGTGGTTGCAGCTGGCAGGTGCGGGTGGTGGCGCATATGAGTGAGCAAACACGGCTTACTGATAGCTGAAGCTGTGCTGGGAGCCATGATGGAGTGGCCGACGCTTGACACGCATAGCCAGATAAGGATGCAGCGCACAGCCGTCTTCAGCATGGCCAAATGTCAGATACCCAGTCCGATCGTGTGCATGCGCCCAAAACTGCATGGCGGGCGGCTGGCCCGCGCGCAGGTGACGCTGGATCTGAAGCCCTGACCCCTGTCGCTCTACCCGAGATGCTTAGTGCCTGGTGCTGGAGGTGCACTGTGGCATGCGGCGAGCCTCTGGGACCAGACGCCTGGCTATGGAACTGGAAATTATATCATATAGTGGTTCGCTGTCGTCTGCCCAGGGCCCAGCTCCTGCATCTTCATCGGCCAACGACTTCCTTTTGCCATTGCGGGGTGTTTGCTTCAGTCGTCATCCATTCTTAACCCCAGGACTGCCACCGCCCATCACTTTACTATCTTGCCGCACCATTGTCCACTCAACACTGTCAATCAATACACGGACTTCCCCCCAAGTTCCGTGTCCTGATAACCAAACGCCACCGCGTCTCAATTCGGATCTCGTCTCACATTGCAAGATAGAGAAGCGCGCCAGGATCTGCGCTCTTGCATGTTGCACCAACGTCTTTATCCATATCTAGGCGAATAATTCGTTCGCGGCTCCCCAAACAGATAGCCCTGGTCGTCGCTCTTATATCCTCAAGTCCTCCATCTTTTGCTCTTGTCCGTCATGCCCCATTCGGTCAACAATTCTACATCGACCCAAACCAAGATGTCCCGCCCATCGTCCACGTCGACGTACTCTGGCACCAATGCATTTCCCAAGCAGGCAGGCACCGCCCTCCTATCACCGGAAAATGCCGGAGAGCAGCTCTCGCCCTCACCCTCGCAGTTCTCCTTTGCATCGTCGCCACAGTCAGTCCAGAACATCGAGCTTGACTCCCGCGACCGCGCTCGTACTCCTGCCGCCGACGGTGTCGGTCCCCTGCGACCCGTGACTTCCCGCTCCCGTGCTGCCTTCTATGAAGATCAATTTTCATACAAGGACGGTATCGCGTCGTCGGCTCGCGAGCGTGTGACCAAGGATGCGCCTATTGTAGCCGAGCTGCGGACAAATGTTATCGTAAGTTGTTAATTTCCGCCGAGCTCCACTCTTTGGGCAAATCACTAACCCAGCGTAGATCAAAGACGAATACACCCTAGTCACCGACCTCTCGCACCACCTCTCGACGCGCTACCAAAGGCCAGAAGCCTCCATCATGATAACGGTTAACCACTCGGCGTGTATGCTCTTGGGTGGATCCTTTGAGCCCACGTACATGCTCACTATCAACGCTCTGCCAGTGCAATTGCAGCCTACGACCAACAAGCGCAATGCAGCCCTGATCCAAACATTCATGGCCGAGTCCATCGGCGTGTCGTCAGACCGTGGCGTAGTCAAGTTCGTGCCTATTCCCGAAGAGAGCCTCGCCATGAATGGTATGACCGTTTTGGGCGATATTGAGCGCCTCGAACGACAGCAAGCCGAGGAGACTGGCAGCAACATCAAACGTGCCATGACCAAGAGCTCGCGCAGATCCGCCCACAAGGCAAAGAGTAGCAATATGCTCTCTCGTGGTCTGTCCAAAGCTGACCATAGCGCAAGAACCGTCACCTCTGAGGTTTCTCACGATGCGTCCCGCGACTCCGGAATAGCTGTTAACGAGAAGATTGACGATAGCAGAATTGCTAGCAAGAAGTCTGAGCCATTACTCTCCAAGTTCAGCAGGAAGCCCTCTACCTCGCATCCGGCGCCACCACCTATTCCTGCCGACAGGCCTGTCACCCCAGCAGTCAACAAGCGCAAGAGCTTCATGAACGTCTTCCGCAGATAAACGTCTAGTATCATTTCATACATCGCTAGCACAATCGTTTCTTGTTCGGCACACGAAAACCTTCATCCAGCATTTCTCATTTCGACGGCGTTTTAAAAGGGACACATTTCGCTCTAGACCGAGAGTCGGCAACACAGACTCACCTGCTGTACACCCTTATCACGGCATCTGTCAAATTCTGCATATGGCACAACACACGAGCATACTCCAAGTCGCATAGTGCGACAAAACAGCATTGCCAGGCGTTTGGGGTACAACACATCTCATTCCTGTTCATACGAATATACCCTTCTGCATTTCCTTTATCACAAAGCTGTAATGGGCAGAAAGATTACATAGAATCATTAATGGCACAGCAACCATCATTACCGCTTCATCACCTTGCAATTGTGTTCGTGAAACTCCACAGTTGCCGCTGATCAGCATCTCGCCGAGCTGCGCTTCACTCACCGCAAACATGTCCTCTACCGTGCCGTGTCTGGATGCATGTTTGACTAAAACATTGTGATCTTCAAACGATCCAGATCTTTGCCCAAACTGGGTTTGCTTCTCGGGTACGCGTCCCCCAGCCCGATGAAGCTACAACTATATTCTGTTCGGTCGACAGTCGCTAACAAGAAGGGCCGTCGCCGTCTACTTGCCGCGTGGCTAGGCCGAAAACTACCAGACCGCCTGTCAATGCTTGACAGCAAAGTACGGCCGGTGAGTTCGCTTATACAGTATCCTTCCAAGCCGCTCTGCAAAGTAGAGGTGTGAACACTTGAGACTGATAGGCTGTTATTCCAGTAGTTCCGCATTGGCATTTTATTTGTTGACCACTATGCAGTAGGGCTGAGACAGCTATGCGTTGATGTCCGTAACCGGATTATCGGGGTGCGCGGTGAGGCTGAATCGAGTGGTGAGAGTGTCACCGGGATGGGATTTGCTTGACCCGGACGCATTGGCAGATAGCCACACCGGCGCGGCTAACGTGAGCAGCGAGTAGAGCATTTTGTTTTTTCAGCTCTCCACGTTTTACTAGATAGTGGATCTAGACGCGCCACAAAAGCTGATCGGAGACATGTAGCGTGCACGCTAAGTGAACGGGAGAGCTACCATTAGCGTTAAGAAATGTCACCACTTTCTTTCAGCTCTGGCTCGTCGAACGGGGTTTTTGCATGCAGACATGGTATGTGGCTTGGTCCAGCCCTACGGTGTCGGCAAAGGTTTTTTTCTTTGTGCTAACGGCGGCAGTCGAGATTTACGATGCTATTACAGACCACAGTGGTGGCGTTCTGCCACGTGGTTGCGGCTACTTTGCCTCTGGTGAAGATGCACGTGTAGACAGAAGGGCCTGGCGGATCACTGTAATACAAATTTTCCATAGTAAGAACAGGTATCAAAAAGCGACGGCGTTGGGTAAGGACATTAAGCTTGCCATCAGTTCGAACCGAGGTGATCGGAACAAGGTTCGCGGCGATCAACGCTACCTAGGCAGAATGATCAGCGTCGTGGTAGTTTGTGGCTCGCCATATGCGACATTCCGCACTGCTCGCCCAACATCAGGGTGATCACACTAGATGTAAATAGCTTATCGCTTCACGCCTCTGTTTGCAACACTCTCCATGTCAATAAAACATGGTGCTGATTTACCCGTAATCCTTCCACCCAAGAGGTGCTGGTCGCACAACCAATCAGATCCTAGCGAACACATTCCTTGCACTTTGGAAGTTTGCGCTTTCTGGGCTTGGCACATATATGCATGTTGCAAATCATCCAAGCGAGGCTGCAGGTTGGTGAAAAGCGAGTTTGGGTGATGCGCGGTACGATGAAGTAGACGAGATAAGGCAGAATTGGAGAGGGATCGCCATAAGTTGCGTAGGCCAAGAATATCTGATAGTTTGGGACTGTTGGAGGTTTGGAATGTTGGTAGAGTTTATCGGGAGTTATTGAATCGCGGGAGCTACGGGTCAAGGGGAGGGCGATTTTAAGTTTGCGATGAATGACGTCATGGGCTACAACGAATCTTGGGTCGGTCGGAAGTCTCCATGAGCTTATTCAGTATCCCTGATTTCACATCGAATTGGAGACCACGATCTGCTTACACATTGGGTATTTCGAGTCGACGAATCATGATTATTGTAACGTGTTTGAATTAGCTCTGGCTTGGAGGTTTGTCTAGTGTTGAACTTCCATAGATAATGGGTCTTGGTTGATTTGTGCCGAAGGTCTAAATTGTCGCGTCATAATCAATCTGTTCATTCATATGCTGGCATGTTTATCTGAACTCACCCTAGGTATTCCTGTTTTAGTCTACCCACAACCACCTTCCCGAGAAGCTGCTCATTATGTAGTAAGTGTACTCAGGTATCGTCTCGAGCAACAGACTGCGTAGGGTAATTGCTTACCTTTGTACCTTGCGATCGTGTCAACTTCTCCATCTCTGTTATAATAACATCCTCGCCCACTTGGAGATCCTCTGGAAAGGCAGCCGGTTTGAACCTCGAAGCGAGGCCCTCGGATGAGTGATGAGATTGAATAGGAGTGAAGCCTCAAAGGTTCCAAAAGCAGGTGAATGCACGTATTCTTCTAGACGTCGCGGCTGCTACTCCATCTTCTTCCCTATTTTAAGGCCCAAATGTAGCTGGGTTGAAAGTCGGATTACAGCGGCCCATGTACTCGGGTGTATGACGAGACAAAGCCCGTCAGCCGCAACATTGTATAGAGGAAAAGATGACTTCCCCGTCATAAACCTATCGCGCTTGGTAAAATGACGCGATAGGTGAAGAGTAGAGATGATCGCTTACGCGTACTGTACATACGGCCTGTGGTGAGCTGGAGGCGACAGGCTACCATCCCCACATCCCCGCTTCCACCTCGCTGCTTCCTCCCACGCCCAACCCTCCACGTGCAAAAACTCAACGAACCACGACAATGTGCAACACACCGTTCAAGCTCTAGCCGAGTTAAAGCGGCTTATGGCAGAACGTGACATCTGATGCGGCACGGGATGGTGGGCACCGCCTTAAGCCTGCGCGATGGCTCGAGCCCTTGGGCTTGTGTTGCTACCACGATCAGGATACATGATTGATGACTTCCCAAGGCTTTTGGAACAGGTTTGGATTACTGCAGAAAGATAGAGAGATATGCGTAAGAGCCGTGCAGAATTACTATGGGGGATGTAAAGTGGAAGAGTTTGAAGAGCAGGGCTACTGCAGTTGTACGATTCTTGTCCCGCCATCGAGAAGCGTGTCTACAATCAACGAAACTCTACCTGTGGTTCTTGCAGACACGCGCGGCGAGGAACGACCTGCTTTCATCGTCCAGCTTCGACCGGCACTGCACGCCCTTGACCTCAACATCGTACGTGCTGCTAGCATGACTTATCCAACGCTAGTTCCAACTATCGAACTTCTCGAATTAGCATTACCCGGAGGCATATATGTCTATGAGATGGAAAAACTTGAAGGCGCACAGTTGCGTCGTTTGCAGGGGCGTGAACGTTCACTCGATGCTGGTTCAAGGGAACGACTACAACGTCTCGTCGCGAGTTTTGCGGACCTTATCGCGCAAAGTTGGCACTCACCACTTGGGACCCCATTCATGTCGAGAGCGATACGAGTAGACTCACCTATGGATGAGAGTTCATCGGTACTCTCGCAGTGCCGCGGCAAGGTCGGCTCAACCATTATTTCTAGGCTTGAGAGATTAGCTGCTGAGCTGCCGGACACTCATCTCCGCCAAAGAGCGAGCCAAGTATTGGGCGCAGTGCAGCGGATAAGCGATTATTCAGTGACAATCAATCACGGAGATCTCATCCCATCTAATATTTTGGTTGACAAGAATACCTGGAAGATCACAGGCCTAGTGGATTGGGCGGAGGCAGAGTACTTACCTTTCGGAACCTGTCTGTACGGACTCGAACATCTTCTTGGATATATCACTCCACCTGCCTCCGGTATCGCACCTATATGGACATACTTTGACGGTGCGGCACAGCTTCGTGAGTTGTTTTGGACGCGGTTAATCGACGCCGTGCCGGAACTGGGGGCCCGAATGGAAGATGTAAGGGTGATGAGAGATTTAGGCGTGCTACTCTGGTATGGTATCGCTTGGGATGAGGGTGCTATCGATCGCATTGTTAATGAGGTGGATGATGTGGAGGAGGTGACCGAACTTCGTGCTTTTCTAACTGTATGTTGAGACGAGATCGTGCGAGGCATATATGAAGAGCGCATCGGTTATGTCTCTACCTTTGTCGTCTGAGTTCTTTCGATTCGTCTTCCTACTGTTCTGCTCTGCTCTGACTCTATCAAGCAACATGCTCGTCAATGTTATGGATCGCGCGCGCGTCGCACTTTCTCCTCCGATGGTGGGCGCCCCTTCCTATACACAGCGTACCTTCTGTATACACGTAGGCAACATTTCAAACCTTCTTACGATTCATGTTCACTCTCTTCTGATCTGTATTTCACCACTCTTGTCACTCTGCTTCACCTCATCATACTGATCAAAGCAAAAGCGTTGCCAAAAGTTTCGGCATCATCTTCATCGCACCGTATAGGCGCAGTAAGCACAAAAGTGGAGCAACTTGTGGAGCAAGGAGTAGTGAGCAGACTCCTCATTTCTTTCTGTGGTGAAGAACTGGCAAGCCAGGACATAGGAAAGGCAATATGGTCCTCACTCCGCGAGGCGCTACAAACGCAGAGCTGGCAATGGCTGACATGGAATAGCCCAAAACTATTCGAAAGGCGGGCGATACTACTCATGCCCTCATTTCCAGTACTGAGAAGGTAAAGAAAGCTTCACTGCAGCGAGAGGTGCCTAGCACTCATCCCAAAATGGCGATCTCCGGCACCAGCAGTGAGTGTGATCTCAGTCTCACATCTCCAAGCACTGGCGAAGTTCCAAAGCGACTCGCAACAAGCACTCCCAGGAAGAAACAAGGCTCGGTCGATCCTGGTGAACGCACCGTCTCCTCTGCTCTCCGAAGGCTTGCACCGAAGCCTTTTGCAAACGTGAGCGGTAGCTGTCAAAACCCAATCATCGTTGAGGAGACTGCATCACCGCCACGGCAAGCAGTACGAGCTCAGAAGCGCAAACCCAGACACAAGAAGCTGACAAAAACCCATCAATCAATCGGCGATGGGTATAGAGACCTATATAGCTATCACCCTTTTAGAACAGCATTGACAGCCATACCTCCGAGCGGCAGCACGTTCACTGGACATCAGAGCCATGACATATACCGCATGATGAACGCAAAGATAACTGCGGCCCCAAATGTCAGCCCGAACGCCGCGTGGGGCCGCCATACTCTGAACGTACCTTTTGAAGTGCAATACCCGCTCTCCTCGCAGGTTTTTATGCAGCAGCAGAACGCGTCAGAATATTGGTCCCCGTACTCCCAGAACCATCAGGCTCAAATTCCTCCTAATACTCATGGGTACCCAACGGTTCCATCTCAGAACGAAGACCTGCTCCGTAGGAGAGCCATTCATTATATCCAAGAGTACTCGCGGCATTCACCGCTGAAGAGATGGCTGTCTGACGCCGACCCTGACAAGACTAGCGGCGATGAAGCCGAAGGACACGAGGAGCATATTAGACCGCAACCAAACTCTTCAACTGCTCAGTCGCATTCCATGCCACAATCCACGATACGTAATATTCGCTATTCTATCAATCACAAGCCAACGACCCATCAAGATCCAGATCCCAACCTCTTGGTCAGACATCTCATTGAGCATACTTCACTCATCACGTCGTTGCTACAGCTGTATTCTCACTCCACCGATCCTAAGGGCTTAAAGAATGACATATCGATGATGTTTCAAGTACAGAATCAGTATGTGACTGACTGGATGAAGGCTGAATCACTTGACTCGCACAAGCGACGCAAGATTGACGGTGACAGCACCGTCAGCCTGGATGATTGCCTACGGCCGATCATGACTTCTGCGACCAGAGCCCAGAACGAGAAAGACGACATGTTGCGCCAGGTTCTTTCTGCTAATGCTGATATGTGGCAAGATGGTACAGGGCATGGCGTTGCGGACGTATTTGCGGTTGTACCTGCGTCGCCGCCACTCGTGAACAGTCTCAATGGACGAACAGTCAGCTCTACGCTTGTACCTTCGATTTCGACGGCACACGATCTCCCTGTTCAGGAACAGAGCAGAACTACTGGCAGCTCCATCACAACTCCAATAAATCCGATCTCGAATTCCACCACAGGAGCAGCACACTGGAAAGGTTTGTCTGTCACCTCCAACATGGAGGAGATACAGATAAAATCCGGAAGCCCATCAGTTAGCCCAAAGGATTACTCTAAGAGTTCGACCGACTTGAGCCACCTCTCAAGCGCTTCCAAAGACCCGGAAGCTCTTACTAGAGTAACACTTCACCCAGCTGATAGTCTCATCAATCCCTCTCCCAATCGCATGAATAGCCGTTCACCTCCTCACAACAAACACGCAACCATACAACATACAGCTCCAAATTCCGATGACGAAGTCCACATTGCCAATAACAGCTATGCCTCAGGCAGCTCTCACAATGAAAGTTCAAACGATTTGCGGGTCCAGGAACCCAGTCTTTCGATTTGAACCACGTGTGGGTGCTGCCAGTGGGCGAGCAAGAGCAACTTCGTTGTCAAAGGAGTAAGTGAGAGGAATAGTATGGCTGCGAGTGCTGTGCGAGGAGCGGAAGAGGATTGATGAGTTGAGGAGTACTTGGAAGAGAATGTGTGTCTTCCGTTACACGTTATGAGTAGGCTGAAGCCAAAAGTGTTGTAGGTGTTGCAATGCGATCATGTAAAGCACCCTGTCATACGGTAGAACCATGCAGAAAAGCGAAATCTCTCATGTATCATGATTCCATATTCTATTTGGGTATCAAGTGACTATTCCCTTTTCATCTCGAGTAAACTAAATCAGCGTCATCCCTAGCACCAGGACCACATCTATTAATTCACTAGTTGCCCTTGTTTCCTCTCTTGCCTCCTCTCTTCTTCCTCTCCACATGACCCATCAACGACTTTTTAACATCTCCCAAACTCCTCTTGTTTTTAATCTTGGCTTTGCCCAGCGTCATCAAGAAGTTCTTCTTCCTTGCCTTCTCCTGATTCGTCGTGCTCTTGCCCTCAGCTGCCTTTTGCTCCTTCTTCTTCTTAGCATGCGAACTGTGGTTCGTCTCGCGGTCTGCGCGTGCAAGAGCGATCTTCTCTTCTTTGGTGTTCTTTTTGCCAATCTTTGCGGCAAGCTCGATGGTATCGGCCGTGATGGCTTCGTCGGCGTGGCGGGCGGCGAGGAGTTGGGCGCGTTTGGAGGAGGCGAGGGAGGAGGTTATTGTTGACGAGGCACGGAGGGCTTGGAGTTGTTTAAGGTCGGCTGGGGTAAGGATAGTAGTGGTGAGGAGTTTAGAGATGGATTTGCTCTCTGGTTCGGCGCTCTTGGAGGGTTCTTTGCTGTCTGGTCCTGGTGTTGGTGTCGTGGTATCGAGCTTAGCCTTCTTTGCTGGCCTGTCTTTCTTTTCCTTTTCGTCTTCAGAGTCGCTAATTTGGATATCCTCGCCATCGCTCTCTACATTGATCCAGCCACCTGAATCGTCGCTATCACCGTCACTTTCCACATCCCACTTCTTCCAGTCATCTTCGTCATCAAGCTCAACGTCGCCGTTGTCCGCGTCAGGGTCCAGGCCAGCAGCTTCCAGCTTTTTCCTGCGCTCCTCTTCTTTCCACTTCTCGAGTAGCTCAATGCCTTCGATCTCTCCAATAGCTTCTTCACCGTATCGGCGTTCTTTGATAGTGCCAGCGCGGATACCCATTGTCGCGTCCTTGCCACGATCGCGTTTCTTGAGGAGGTCTGCACCGACTTCACGGTAAAGTGAAAGAAGTCCTTTGGCGGCCATCATCGTGCCCTTGTCCTTGGATTTGCGGTACTACCTTGTGTCAGTATACATCATGATATCAGTATACATCATGATATCAGGGCGAGGTGTCTGAGAGGATGTAGCAGAAACAAGGGTATCAGAGTTGCGACAAGCGCTTGGGTTTGTATTCAGATAGCGGGGTCTTAAGCCGCCTCATTAACACGGACCAAATGTTCTCATCATGAAAAACACAGAGTGCGACGCGATGCGGTGGGAGGATAGAAAATGTGAGTTGACTTACCATAACCAAGTCCTGGAGCAAGGTGTCCGTCATAGCTAATGGTTGACGTGCGCAAACCTCGCGAATGGCATTCAGACCTGCTGCCGCAACCTCAGAGGCTGATGCTTCTGACACAAACTCGTTCGCAATCTTCTGCACCAGCGGTTCGAGCACATCTGGCGGTACATACGAGTGTGTCGCTTGCGCTAAGCATGCCAAGTAACTTGTGACAGACGCTTGCCGAGGAGTGAGATGCTTCAAGAAGTATGAGTATAGCGGGAGGACTGTGAGCTGATGTAATCCAACAAGACGAGTAACAAGCTGCAACACCAGCAGTTTCGTTTCGAGGGCGAGTTTGTTCTTGGAGTTCTGGACGTGCTTCGAGAAGAGCGTTTCGGCGAAGCCTTGAGGATCGTGGAGGAGGTGGAGCGCACTGAAGTTGAGAGGATGAGGTGCATTCTTCTTCTTCTGCTTCTTCTTTATAGTGGCAGCTGCAGTCCTCAGTTCGCGGGCCTTCTTCTTGCTCTTCTTGTTGATGCCAGCTGAATGCTTCAATTTGGCCATGTCGACATCATTGTCGTCATCGCTGCTCTCCTCTGCAGCGGCCTCTCGTTCCTCGTCACCACCAAGGAAGAACTTGGTGCCGCCGAAAACGGTCTTTTCGTTGTCGCTTAGAGCGGCCAAGCGCATGACCTCGACTGCGCGCGCATCGGTCCATATTTGGCGCTTCCAAAGCTCTCTTGTGATCTTCACGGCCCATATGCCCTTGGGTGAGGAGGAATCTGATTCTAGGAGGCTTTGACTAGTTAGTCAATGATCTTGGTACACTCGCAGGATATTGCATACTTGTAAAGCGCTGTCTGCATAGACTTGTTGAGCTTGTGGTTGACAGTCTTTGCGTTGGAAGACCGAAGGTCTGAGATGATCTTGGTGTAGAGTAGTTGTCGCAGACTCTTGCTGTTGGTCGTCACAAGAATGGGAAACAGGGTGTTGAGAAGTGTGATCGAGTCGATGACTTCTTTCCGCTTGAGCAGGCAGTATGCTCCGACGACCTTGTCTCTCAAGTCATACTCCAGCACCTCGTGGTGGGTGAGCAGCAGCTCTAGATCCCGGGGAAACTCTGATGCAATATCGGGGTAGAGGTCTGAGGTGTGCGACACGAATTCGATGAGGTCCTTGAGCGCGACCAGACCGCTATCTGAGGTGCTTGGGTCGGCCAGGAAGAGGTCGAGGAGGGTTCGGTACTGCTGCCATTGCTGCTCAAAGTCGTCTCTGTACGATTGAGGGTCTCGTTTCAGCTTGAAGCGGAGTGCTGCGTGGTCAGACTCCAGCTTCTCGAGGGCACCAACTTTGCGCTTCATGGTGTCGACTTGGGATCTGGGGGGTGAGGAAGTTGTCGTGGCTGTCGTCGAGTACGCGCCTGTGTAGACTTTGCGACATGAAATTTTAGTGGGGCCCATCCCACCAATTGGTCAGGGCGGACCGACACTAGGCCGAGAAGCTCTGGCCTCTTTGCGCGTAAATCTTTCATCCTCGACAACTTGCGCCAGCCACTTTTCAGACGCGCTGCCCTACAACGGCGCGCATCACATTCAACAAGCTCATACACCGCTCTTGATTGATCGTGGTCTGTTTCTCAACCTTACCCGCGTGTCTTCAGATATCGACGCGACTGTAATACCTGGGCCAGCGCCCGCCCATTGCCCACCATGACGAGCTTCTCTTCCATGTCCCTGTACGCCTTGACGGTGAAGCAGCCGACAGCGACACAGGACGCCATTTCCGGCGACTTTCTTGGAAACGGCAAGCAGCAGATTCTCACAGCGAGCGGCTCACGACTGGCTATCCTCGAGGTCTCGCGGCGACAGAAGGGCTTCCAAGAGCTGTACTCGCAGGATGTGTTTGGCATCATTCGTCGTATAGCCAAGTTCAGGATCGCAGGCGGCACCAAAGGTATGTTAGTCCATCTTCCCCGCTACAAGCAGTATAGTGATTTTCAAAGCACACGACACCCTCGAGCTCCCAGCTCCCTGAGCCCACGGTGGACTGGACTGCAAACACTAAGAACCTCTACTGACTCCGTCAGACCATATTGTCATAACCACCGACTCCGGACGGTTAGTCACATATGAGTACATGCCAGATGAGCATACCTTCAAGACCGTTCACTTCGAGACGTTCGGCAAGTCTGGAATACGACGCGTAGTGCCGGGCGAGTATCTAGCAGCCGACCCGAAAGGGCGCGCTATCATGATCGCCTCGACGGAGAAGAACAAGCTTGTCTACATTCTTACCCGAAGTGGCCAGACGGATATTGCCATCTCCTCACCGCTAGAGGCACACAAGCCACAGACGTTGGTGTACTGCCTTATTGGACTTGATGTTGGATATGACAATCCCATGTTCGCTACATTGGAGGTAGACTACTCCAACTCGGAGACTGACCCTACTGGTGAAGCCTACGAAGAGATCAAGAAGGAGTTGGTATACTACGAGCTGGACCTTGGTCTTAACCATATCGTCCGGAAGTGGTCGGAGCCAGTTGATCGTACCGCCAATACCCTCTTCCGGGTACCTGGAGGACCAAACGCTCCGAGCGGTGTTCTATGCTGTGGAGAGGATAGCATCACATACCGCCGCATCTTCAACAACAAGTCAAGTGTGCACCGACTGGCCATTCCACGCCGCGAAGGAGCCACTGAAGACCCAAATCGCAAGCGCATGATCGTTGCTGGTACTCTATACTCTCTCAAAGGCGGTGATTTCTTCTACCTCCTACAAACAGAGGACGGTGATGTCTTCAAGCTTACTGTAGAAGCCACCAGCGGTACCGTCGACAAGATCAAGATCAAATACTTTGATACCATCCCCGTCGCGACGAGCATTTGCATTCTGAGGGCAGGCTTCGTGTACGCTGCCTGCGAATCTGGAGACCGCATCTTGTATGAACTGGAGTCTTTGGGAGACGAGACGGAAGATCCTGTTTTCGAGAGCGATCAATTCCCTGTCGACCCTGAGACCTCTTTCGCACCTCCCTTCTTCAAGCCTCGGGCGCTTGTCAACCTCACTGCAGTTGAGACGATGCCCAGTCTCAATCCGATTATGGGCATGGAAGTTGCCAACCCTGCGCTGGAGGACGCGCCCCAAGTTTACACGATCAACGGTGCCGGTGGCCGGAGTTCATTCCGCACCACCAGGAACGCGCTGGAGGTTCTGGATCTTATTGAGTCGCCGTTGCCGCAGAACGCTTCCGACGTCTGGACTACGAAGCTGACCAGCGAAGACGAAACTGATACACTTATTGTCATGTGTCTTCACAGCAGAACGCTCGTTCTCAAAATTGGCGACGATGTCGAGGAAGCTGCGAATACCGGCTTTCTTCCAGACACCAACACGCTTGGTGTGCAACAGTTCGGTGAAGACTGTATCATCCAGATCCATCCTAAGGGTATTCGTCACATCCAGGGCATCCAGTTCCCTAATGACGATGCAAGTGCGACGCACGCTAGTCTGACTGACTGGCAACCCCCAGCGCATCGCACTATCGTAGCTTGTGCCACGAACAACCGACAAGTTGCTATAGCGCTAAGTTCCGGCCAAATCCTGTACTTTGAATGCGACGCAGATGGATCGCTTGCCATGGCTGAGGAGGAGATTGCTTTAGACAGCACTATCAACTGTCTTGCAATGCCTGATGTACCTGAGGGTAGTGTGCGAGCTTTCTTCTTGGCTGTCGGGTGCAGCGACCAGACTGTCAGGATTTTCAACTTGAGTCCTGACATGGAAGGAAACATCCTGCGAAGTATCTCTGTCCAGGCCCTCACCTCACCGCCTAGTGACTTGACCATCAACCTCATGACGGACAAGTCTCCTCGTGGATACAGCCAGTTCTTGCACATCGGTCTACGAAGTGGTGTATACATCAGATCGGTACTAGATGAGATGACTGGCGACATTGGCGACACTCGGAGACGCTTCCTTGGGCCAGAGCCTATCAAGTTTGCGAAGGTGACTGTTGCCCGCGAACCTGCTATTATTGCAATGACCTCAAGGCCATGGCTAGGTTACACTCATCCTCGTACCGGAGTGTTGCAGCTGACACCGCTGAACTACATTCCATTCAAGTCCGCGTGGAACTTTGATGGTTCCCAATTCAAGGGAATCATCTGCGTCAGCGGCAACGAGCTACGGTAAGCACCTTCCATCTATTTCCCCCAACTGCAATGATGAAACTCTGTACTCCCTAAACACGATGAGGGCAATAACAAATTTCCAATTGTTCCTACTGAAAGCAGTTATCAATTCGTTCTTGTTACATACACAACATGCACGATTAGTTGCTGACCACAACAGAATCTTCACCTTCAATGACCTAACGGACAATACGACTTACGAGAACATACCACTCAAGTACACCCCAAGGAAGATGGTCGGATGGCACGACCAGGGTGTGTTCTACGTAATCGAGAGCGACAACAACACTATAAGTGCCGACAGACGCCAACAGCTTATCGCACACGCCGGTGTCAAGAAGGAGGATGATGGCACCAACGGCTCGATGGAAGTCGAGAACGCCAACGGTGGTGCAACGAATGGCACCGACGATAGCGACGAGCTTCCAGCAGTTGACTTTGGTTACCCAAGAGCTCAGGGCAGCTGGGCTTCTTGTATCCAAGTTGTCGATCCTGTGAGCGAAAAGACTGTCACCCACACCGTAGAGCTCAATGGCAACCAGTCACTTGTCAGCGCCGCCTTGGTGTTCTTCGAGAGCCGTGGTGAGGAAGCATTCTTGGTTGTTGGCACTGCCAAAGACTTGAGCTTCACTCCTTTCAAATACACATCTGCTTCTATCCAGGTGTACAAGATCAACCCCACCGGTCGTGAGCTGGAGTTCTTCCACGAGACTGAGGTCAGCGACCCGCCTCTAGCGCTACTTGCATTCAAAGGAAAGCTCATTGCTGGTGTCGGTCGCCATCTGTGTCTCTACGACTGCGGTATGAAGTCTGTCCTACGCAAGGCTCAGGCACCGAACTGTGTACCAACGCGCATCACCGACCTCAAGACGCAAGGCAGCCGACTGGTTGTTTCCGATCAGGCGCAGTCAGTAACGTATGTCGTACACAAAGATCAGGTCCACCCCAATCGCCTGATTCCCTTCGTCGATGACACTATTGCCCGCCACACCTCCGCATCAGAGATGCTGGACTACGACACCACAGTTGGTGGTGACAAGTTCGGCAACATCTGGCTTGTGCGCTGCCCACAGAAGGTCTCCGAGTCTTCTGACGAGTCGCCTGATGGTTCCGATCTCCTAGTAGATAAGGGCTACTTGGGTGGTACGCCGAACCGCCTCGACCTTATCGCACACTACTTTACGAACGACATTCCCGTCTCCATTCAGAAGACTGTCCTACTATCAGGTGGTGAACGCATCATCTTCTGGGCTGGTCTCCAGGGTACTCTTGGTGCACTTATCCCCTTCAACTCCCGCCGACAGCACAAGATGTTCCAACAACTGGAGCTACAACTTCGGTCAGACGACAAGCCACTGTCGGGTCGCGATCATCTCGCCTTCCGCAGCTACTTCGCGCCGGTCAAGAGCGTGATCGATGGTGATCTCATTGAGCGCTTCTTGGTACTGTCGCGCGACAAACGAGAGAGCATCGCTGGCCAGATGACAGGTGCAGAATGGACACCCAGTATGATTGATGAGGCGATTTGGAACATGAGAGGTCTTTATGCTTTTTAGATGAAGCGTAACCTGTACACACTACGGCGTTTGGATAGTTCGGGCCTTGAAGAGCAGTTGGCGCTTTTGTCCTGCCCTTGTAGCGTCTTTGATGAATAAGTAGCAGTAACTTGTATTTGTAAACAGGAATGTGGGTCATAATAGACTCAAATGATACCCAAGAATCGTCTTCAACTATCTTCAAGCATGGTTGTCTGCACGTGGTTAGCCTTGCTACCAAGACCTGGTTTGCGGTGTTCTATACCTTGCTTTTGTCACTAATAGCACCCGCACTTATATGAACAGCAATAACAACCGCGGCACCGGCTGAACTCTACGTCATCACGTCGACATACGAAAGTTAAACCTCGCCAACACAAGACGGAGAAATTATCTCCATGCAGATCTACAAGTTTGCGGGGAAGAAGTGGGGCAAGTCATATCGATCCTGGCTCGGAGAGCCGCCGTCGGGTAGATTTGCGAGTGCGAATACGAATTGACTTGCTCTTCTCAGAAATACCCCGAAGAGAACAGCTACGGAACGGCTGATAATATGCACGACCCATGTTACAACGAGAAGCTTGGAGACAGGGACAGTAGCATTCGGTTGAGGACCGGGAAGCTAACGGAGCTAGGGTAGGAGACTATGTAAAAGGACGACACCGCACATGTTCAAGTACTACTAGGCTTGGAGATATCTGCTACTGGTTTTTTCGCCCGATATGAAGCTGTATAGCTCGCTCGCTCTTGTTCCTTTGATTTATCAAGGCTATGCGCTCGATGTCGAAGCTATAGTGAACAAATACTACGGCAATGATGCAGCATGGTACCGCGACCGGATCCCTCTTTTCGACTCTAGCGATCCAGATATCACCGATGTCTACTACTACCGGTGGTCCATTTTCCGCGCACATCAACGCGACCTAGGCTCCAACGGTTACATTTCCACCGAGTTCCTTGACGATGTCGGGTGGCAGACTATGCCTTGGGCTAGTCTGAACGATGCAACTGGCTTCCATCTCCTAGAGGGACGGTGGTGTCGCGACCGACGGTTCAAAGAAGATTACGCGACATTCATGTATAGCAGCAACAGCAACAGTCGACAATTTTCTGAAAGCATGGCCGCAGCCGTTTGGCAAGGGTATCTTGTTGATGGTGTGGTAGAGGACGTGGTTAAGAGGCTCGACGATATGACGAGAGTGTATAATGCCTGGGATGATTCCTACGACAAGGACAAAGGGTTGTATTACGTTGAGCCCATCCGGGATGCGACGGAGTATACAATCTCCAGTATAGATTCTTCGGGTGGCTATGATGGCTTCTTCGGTGGCGACTCGTTCCGCCCTAGCATAAACAGCTACCAGTACGCCAACGCCCTCGCAATCGCCAACATGGCGTCCTTGAAAGGTGGTTTGGAAAGCACCGTCGACACCTACAATTCCCGCGCCACTGCCCTCAAAACGCGCGTACAGGACGCCCTCTGGAACTCAACCTTTGACCATTTCATCGACCGCTATCAAGTCAACAACACGAACGTCACATACTGGGATCCCATTCGCGGCCGCGAACTGGTCGGTATGGTCCCTTGGACCCACGACCTCCCCGACGATACCGCAACCTACGCACAAGCTTGGTCGCACATTCTTAACAGTAGCGAGCTAGCCGGAGAACACGGTTTGCGTACCGTGGAGCCTTCTTACGAGTACTACATGCGACAGTACCGTTACGAAGGCCCGAACCCGGAGTGTCAGTGGAATGGCCCTGTATGGCCTTTCCAGATGACTCAAGTTCTATCCGGACTCGCCAATTTCCTGGATCATTATGCTGAGGGAAGAAAGACGGATGTTATTAACACTGATGACTATACAAACTTGCTGAGGCAATATGCTCAGTTGCATCGGAACCCCGATACTGGCATTCTGGATCTAGAAGAAGACTACTACCCTGACACGGGATTACCGATCGTAGGACTCAAGCGGAGTCATCATTACTTCCACTCTGGCTTCAACGACCTCGTCCTATCGGGTCTTGTTGGAATCCATCCCTCAGCCAACGATACGCTGGAAGTCTCTCCCCTGGCCTCTTCAGCGCAGATGAAATATTTCCGCGCAGAACGTATCATATACCACGGTCATGAAATTGCCGTTCAGTGGGATGCCGACGGCTCGCACTACGACGCCACAGGTCTGCAGGTTGAGGTCGATGGCAAGGTAGTCGCTTCATCCCCCACGCTTTCTCGTCTTTCAGTCGACCTGGAACGAAAAGCTCCACCAGCTATTACCCGCCGAATCGCACAGTCAATCCAACTCAACGCTACAACGGCGTATCCGCGCGGTACAACATCCGTCGGCAACACTACTCAAGCATCTACATATCCTGCTATTGACGGTCGGATATGGTTTTACCCCGAGCAAGATGCTAAGAATGGGTGGGATACACCAGTCGGCAATGGAAGTACAGTCTGGTTCCAAATTGATTTTGGCAAAACCGTCAGCATAAGTGCGGCTGAGCTTGCATTCTTCGCGAACGAGGAGCAAGGCTTTGCGGAGCCGACGGATTATAAGATCCAGGTGCCTGGTAATGGGGACAGTGGTGAATGGAGTGATGTCGAGGGCGCGACTTATGGCGATGTTGTCGCGAACGGCATTACGAGTGTAGAGTGGAAGGAAGTTCAGGGGGAGCAGGTGAGAGTTATCTTTACGCCGAAGGTGGGCAGTAAGGTTAGAATTGCGGAATTCAAGGTGTACTGAATAGGGTTATTTTGATGGAGGCAACTGCTAGGTTTATATGGCTGCTGAATGATATCACTTGATTCTAAATGGTGACACCGAGCAACATGAGATACATTAGAAATGCGTGTATGTGGATTTAGAGATCCGTAATGATAAGTTTGTTCCAAGGAACATGGGGTATGTACTATTAACGCCAATGAGGAGACCACACATCAATGTGTCTGTATTCAACTCCTCCCCGGGCCCAGTCCACCAGCCCACCAACCAGAGTCAACCCAATATCTATTCTCTGCATTCGCCGTCTCCACCGACCTTACAAGCTTCCTCCGATCAAGGTGCAAATCTGCATGCCCATTCGTCAATTCGCCCGGTGTACGCCTTCCGCTCTTCTCTTTCCGCGGACTAGCCTGCATATCTTCAGCAGCGATTTCAGTATCAGACGTAGATACTGGTGATGCAGATCGAGGAGTTGAAGAAGTAGGCGAGGGAGTACTGTCAGGAGAGTAAATAGTTGGTATGGCACCCAAAATTCGACCAGCAGCGAAGACGCAACCACCGATTGCGTGTCTGATGAGAGAATCACCAGTAAGACTACCAATTATGAAGACGTCTCTAGCTACTTCGAGGGACGTAGCTTCGGCTTTGGCGCGGAATGTTCGGCCTGAGATCAGATGCGCGGAAGATGGGCCGGAACTCATTTGGTCGGGCGAAGCTAGAATCTCAGCGCATAGTTCTTGGGACAGAAAATCCAAGGTTCCGCGTCGGCCAACAACATAAGCTAGACCGCCTACTTCGTGGGTGACGGTTTCTCCTGACGGCAGTTGTAGTACTATGGTTGCTACATTCCCGGACACAGATGCGCTGACAACCTCGGCATTGGGCAGGCCTTCGTAGAGCGTCCAGTCGCGTTGTTGAAATGGATTCGACTTGCGCCGTACAGAAGGAGATTTTGCATTCTTCTTCTTGGATGTAATCGCTGCAAGCTTCATTTGGCGGTAAACGGTCGCATACTCTGGGTAAGCGGTGTGGTGGCAGCCTCGTAATGGGGACGGCCTCTTTTCGGGGGCCCATTGAAAGACGTGTAGGATCCTACGAGTAGGCGGCGCAGATATGATAACATCGGCCGCAGAGAATCCGGATCCAATAACGAGTAGTGGCGCTTGTTGCGAATCCATCTGTGCGATGGGCGCAAGGTGAAGTGGAGGCGGGATGTTAACTGTAAAGATGCCAGACGCAAGCACGAGATGCTTGCACCGAATCCCAAGACTTCCGATGGAAAAGCCGCGCACCGTTCGATGCACATGCTCGACCTTCAGCCCCGTGTATATGCTATCGGCTATGCCCACCGCCTCCGGGTATGTCCTTAGGTAGTCGGCAACCTCGACCCTCGAAGGCCGCACGAACTCGGCTTCGTCTCCTCTTCCGCTCTTAGCCAAGTGGTCTGCGTACGAATAGCCAGGGAGGCTCAACTGTTCCGCATAGCTCAACGTGCCAATGTCTGCGCTTGCAGAGACGGGATTCTCTGCCCATTGCCCACCTGCATGGGCTGTTTCCCCAATCGCAACATGTGGAATAGCCTTCTCAGGCTCGTACCGCCACTCGATGCAGGACTTGGGGTTCAGCTCGGTATCAGCATTGGGTCGGACGAGAGTGTCGAGCAGCGTGTTGACCGGCAGCGCTTGGGTCGAGTAGCGTAGAGACGACAGGAAATGCGCGTAGAGATCCGGTGTTAGGTGGAGCAGATTGGGTGATTTCTGCAGTTTCGCGTCGAGAATCGCGTCATGATGGCCGCCGACGTAGTATGGGATATGGCCGTGTAGGATGTAGGAGAGGACGAGCGCTGATGGCCCGTTGCCTGTAATTTGTAATCAGCATCTTGCTTGCGCGCGCATGTTATCCCCGTCACGTACCAATGATCAACGTGTCGACGCATTTTGGAAGCGAGCGAGCCATGGACTTTTGCAGCAGAATGCCATGAGGAAGTCAAAGTCAGCATGGACGGGAGGAAGGGCGGAACGGGGCTGGTCAATAGTGTATGTCTTCAACATGACGGCCTCTTTTAATTCTTCGGCGCTAGAAGCGGTCCCTGTTCCGCCGCGGTGGGGGTCGGGTCTCGCCTTCCACATTCGAGGGGTTGATTGCGAAGATGGTCGGCTCGTCGCTGACCAAGCTAATCGACGTGCCGTGAAATGTTGACGATTCAGGCACCGTGTAGATTGCGTGATCGCTGCAGGTGAGAGACGCGTGAGATGCACGAGGTCATGACATGTCCGCGGGGGCTGCATGAGGTCACAGCCTTGCGCTCAAGTGCGGGGCATGGCAAGGTAGAAGAACATTAAACTATAAATCCAAATCATAGTCAACCATGGTATCTCTTCCTAAATATCGCGCTCCAAGCCGCCCTGTAAATTTCGAGCTCTCCGACTCTGCGCAACAAGAAAGAGCATGTACACTTTGTGATTTCAAAGCATCAGCGTTACCCGTTGGGTCCAAAGGGAGAAATCGGGCCTGTCAAACGTTACCCCACATCATCCTGTCCGGGTCTGGTCCGCCGCGCGATCCTCCATCGCAAGATTCCTAGTATCTGTACGTGACGGTATTACGTTCAGCGACGGGCGAAACGTCGTGGGCCTGTTGCTGAGGCACGTTGAGATCAGGCGTCCGTGGGCGTTCAATGCGCGGTCGCATGTGTTCGTCTTCTTCCTGAATCGGTGGTTGCGCACCGTGCATGGTCAAGTTGTTTGCAGAGCTCTCTTGCCGACCCAGATACGACGGAGTTGATTGAAAGCCTGGATGGTAAGGATCTGGTGGGCCACCATAATCGTTGGCCGATGACGAGTTCTGGTGCGCTGGAGGTGTGTATGTAGTCGTATAGTGATCAGCGAACGGGTTCTCTTCTTGTGCGCTCGGTTGTGTACGATTCGGTGCGGCCTGCAGTGACGGAGGAAGATTGTTTTCGTCGCTTCCATAGTTGGTAGATGTTGTGCCAGCCGGTTGGGTGGGCTGCATCGTTCCAAAGTTCATGGAGGGTATCGAAGGCGCATCGCTGTGTGTAGGCACACCAGCTGGACTAGTGTTACCATTTGGCGGCGGCGGCGGCATGGCGTTTCCATTCTGCACTGGTGGAGACGGCGAGGCACCCATGAACCGACGGGCCTGGAGGATGGCGCGCTGATGCTTGGAAGCAGCGAGGGAGAGCTGCTCGTTGGTTTCGATCAACGTGAGCATAGTATCATCGTCGGGTGCCGGATTGTCGCATGCGATGTAGCCGTGTATGCTACGCTGGGCGGTCGTGCAGCGCTCAGCGAACTCCTTGACCAGTTCGTTACCAAGTAGTTCATTTGCTGGTGTGGACTGGACAAGCTGTAAGAGAAGCTTGGCCGATGTGCGCGCTTCCTCAATGCGACCTGCAAGCTCTGCTGGTGGCGGCAATGTCTTAGACGACGACCTGTGCCCTGAACTGAAGCCGCCCTGTACGTTCTGGGACCCTGACCAACCTGGCGCATTGAGCTTCCGGGGGCCGAACTGCTTTGCGGCAACAGCCATAAGGCCCTTCTCCTTCTTGTACATGGTGAACAGCGTGTTTAGGTTGGTGTCATATCCCTTTTCTCGCTCCATGGAATCCAGCGTCTCCTTGACAATCTGCGCTACACTTGGGTCTTGACCATTGCGGAGTAGGTACTTGACTGTATCGGCGAACTGCTTGTCGAGGTTCTTGGTAAAAGAAGGGCCCGGATTGTCGGCCAAGATTCTGATGAGCATAATGGCATTGTACTGGACATGAGGGCGGGCGTAGTTTTCTTTGGAGAGGAAGATGCGGATCTGTCTGGCGGCGGCTGATGCAGCGCTCGGGCTTGCGACGGCGGACTCGACGATGGTAGGCAGGTGGAGGACTTCTTCGCCCTGGAAAGGTCAGTAGGGCGGCATGATTCTGTGGGCAAATACCGTACCGAGTTGGCGGCACCAGACTCGCAGAAGAGCATCTGCTCGCTATTAGCTGCTGCGAAGATGCGACGAGGCGGTATAACCTACCACTCCCCTGGTGGCATTGGCCTCGGGCGTGTCAGCATTTGGATCGATATTGACATCCTGGGCTGTATGCGCTGGATGCGTTAGAGTGTACCAGACCAAAGTGCATGGCGGGACTCACAAGACCGTTTGCGCATCAAGCTGCCAAAGTTGAGGCGCTTCTTGAGCTCCATGTCTGCTGCTACGGGCGGAGCGGTTCCGCAATGTTAAACGGTCGCAGGAGCGTTTGAAGTGACTGCGCAAAAACAAAGCGCAGAACCGCACGAAACACGAGATGGCTCCGAGTCTGTGAGTCTTGGTGGAAAGGAGAGAGATGGTGGGATCGCGGTATAGATCGAGGCCTCCAGCGCTCCTTCCTCGCGCGGACGGTTACCTAGGTAGGGCTGCGCCTCTTGCTGCCAAGCCATGACAACTTCGCGAACACACGTACAGCCAACGTAAACAACCGCGTACAACGTGTGGCGACGCTGCATCCATCGCTGTACTGCACCACCATGTCCTTCCCCCACACGGCACCATCTACGCGTCCTGGATGGCGGAGGGTGTGCCAAGATAGGCCATCGGCCTTTTGCTGCAGACCCACGGCCCGGTAGTCTGCTTTTTAATCGGACCCTTTCCGTGCATCCACACTGATTCCACAGCTGCTGGAGACCAGTCTCCTACTAAGCATCCTAGGATACGTCAAGACAGTCGTAGCACATGACCGGGTACCTGCTTATGGTGCGCCCGCGTGATACCACGGTTCGTCTTCTCGACCGGTGGCGGCAAGATGCAGATGGCGGTTGACTATACACAACCATCAAAGCTAGTCTGGCAGTTGTTGTCGTCGTCGTCTTCTTTGTCGCCGAGAGGTGTGACGATGACATAGCCTGAGCACAGTACCGATCTATCCGTGCTAACACTACGTTGCGAGACACGTCAAACGTCACGACCCAGCCTAATTCTTCAGTAATGCCCCATCTTCCACCTCACCATCTCCAAAGTCTGGCACAGCCAAGTAAAGGCTTCCGTCAACAGACGGGGTCAGCGACATGTTATTCAGGTTCAAGAATACCATCAACCTGTCACGGGCACCTACAGATATCAGAGACTCACACTGTAGTCGCTTGGCTGTGGTTGCGTGCGTCACTCTGCTCTCATCGGCGCTAAGCAAGCTACCATTCGCTGCCACCACCTATGACTATGCCCGCAACCTGTTAGTGTTAGAGACTGCGATTATCGTCTCTGAGTTGTCCCTACCTATTCGAGGCGATGCGATGCGGCGACAAGGTTCAAGGATCGACGCTTCCTCGGCAAGCGATCATTCCTACAGGATGCCGCAGCTACGGCTTGGCTAGACGTCATTCTTCATGCGCACTTGGTCCATTCGTGAGACACCTCGACAGCCACTCACCTTGCCTTGGTCAAGTGCCAGGCACAAAGTATATGACCTCAAACCATGGTCCTCGCCTCCCACCGTCCCGTGCAATACACCCACCTCCTGACCTCACCACTTTCATAGGCACCAGCGTCTTTGTTCAACATCACCTACAAAATGGCGCCCGAACCCGCTTCCGCCATGGCTGGCCAGGCTCGTATGCGTGTCGAAGAAACTGAACAAGAGCACATTACCAGAGAGAACTCGGGTTTTGCCGCATTTGAAGCAGATATGCCTAAACTCGCCAACCGATTCAGCTTTTCCCTCAAGGACAACCTTTCCTCCTACCTTGGTCGCAAGAACCCTTTCTTCACCAACGTAAACCCAGACACCGACTATGTATGGATTCTGGATACGACTGCCTACCAGAATCGCTTAGGAAGGTGGAAGGCGGAACTTGTTGCTGCCTACTTTGTCAAGAATAGCGGCAAGGACATCTCCCAGCTCGTTGCATGGGTCAGCGAGAAAATCGGCCTTGCAGACGACGAACAGGCTAGAGCAACAGTCGCCCAGAGGCTCCAGCCCTTTGCGGACGCAATTCTTCCAGCGCACGCTGTTGAAATTGACCTCAATGGTCTCAAAACCAGATTAGGACCCAGCGGCCGCGACGGTATCAGCTCAGACGAGTTGGCCATTCCCGGAACCGATTATAAGGACGGCCAGGTCAACAAGTTCCAGGCCGTCAATGCTGAGGCGACGTCATTCAATATTACCTTCGCAAAACCCAAGGGATGGGCCGTCCTTTCCGATATCGACGATACAATCAAGAAGACCCTGACATCGTCACCTGTCGGTATCTTGACCACCACATTCGCAGAGCAGCCAGAGCCGATCAAGGGCATGCCGGAGTTGTATAGGCATATGGCGCAAAAGCTCGACAATCCGCCCTTCTGGTATCTCTCCGCATCCCCATACAACCTCTACCCGTTCTTGCGCAACTTCCGCGAGCAATACTACCCCAATGGTACCATGATCTTACGCGACGCTAGCTGGATGAACTTGGCTGGCTTCCTCGCAAACTTGACGCAAGGTACCCAAGCTTACAAGGTTGACCGCATTGAAAAGGTTCATGGCTGGTTTCCCAAGCGGAAGTTCATCCTTATCGGTGACTCGACCCAAACAGACCCTGAATCGTATGGCGAAGCGTACCGCAAGTTTGGCAAGAGCTGGATCGGTGCTATCTACATTCGTAAGGTAACGGGCGTTGCGGAAATGGACGAAGGCAAAAAGAATTGCCCAGAAAGATTCGAGAAGGCCTTCAAGGGTGTTCCCAAGGAGGTCTGGTACGTCTTTGAGGAAGCACAGGAACTGTACGCGAAGATCGATGCTTTGCCTAAGATCGAATAAGAGGCGAATGCTTCAGTGTATGACGAGCAAGTTTCAGTTTGAAGGATAATCGAGGAGCTTTTGGCGCATCTCGTTTTGCATGGTACCTGGCCAGCTGGCTATTTTGATACATGCAGGGACATACCACGGAGTACGGAGTACAATTTCATTTTTCCCCTTTTCCATAGTCAAACAACGCGATACCCAATATTTTCCCAATCTCATTTCTCTTGCCTCTTAATCCTGCTAGCCATTGTCTATAACATGTGCTATCATAAACATGTGCATGGCCGGTGATTTCACTGTTTTCTCCACTGCCCTCTTTCGTTTTGCATTGAAGTGCGGCATGTTTGGCAACATTCACATCTTCACATCTTTATCAAACATGAGCAACATTTCACAACACCAACATTGTACGCCACAGAGATACTCGGTCACGCGTGATCCCGACGTCAGAAATTGGAAGCGTACCTATACTGCAGTTCCTACCCTCCGCAATAGTCATACTCCCGCCTGCCTGATCGCCAAACATGGTAGCCGGTCAGCTACAAGAACCCGGACCAATGCCTCTGTACGTTCTTCTCGTTCTCGTTATTGGTATATGTTTCTACTTCTTCTTCATAGGTACCGCTGCAGTCAGGCTTTGGTTCTATAAGGGCGCTCTCGGTCCTGCGCCAGAGAAGTTCCTCGTCGTCAAGATCGAGCATGAGGATGCACAGCAACATGCTCCGATGGCCGACAACCACAGCGGAGCCGGCACACACAGCAACGCCATGAAGCACCGACGCATGACCGTCTTCACACATGCCTCATTATCAGCACTATCTGACGACACCGCTCATACTACCGCGCTCGAACCACATGGTTTCTCACAAGCAACGACGATGGTGAATCTCCAAGATATCGATGAGGAAGACCTATCCTCATTCACAAATCCTGGAACCCGCGCCTATATAGCAGAAGAATGCCGCCTGTCCCGCATGCCTGCCTTTGACGCAGATGACTGCGGAAACGGCGACTACTTCCCTGACCTCCCTTACACAAACAACCCTATCGAATCTACTTCTGCTTGCTCCGACTATCTCCAACCCTCACAACTAGGGCTTACCTCAACGGACTGGCGCGACTGGCTAGCCATTGATGAACATTACATTGAGTACCACGCCGCGCGCACTCACCTCCTATCGCGCAACCGATCATCTTGTATACACCTCACTCCCGACAGCGAATCCGCGTGTCGCGAGCTGCTGCAAGAAATTGCCTCCTACCTCGTCGAACAGCACCCTAACAAATTCAGCTTCAAGACTAAACATCGTAGGAAGCATATTCTGAATGAACTGACGAGAGAAGATTTCGAATTAGAGGGTGGGTTGGAGGCACATCCATTGGAGGTTGTAGCGAGACTGTGCGGAGAAGATTTTATGATCTGGGAGAGAAGTGAGAGTACTAGGATGTGGTACTTGCAAGCCAGTACAACGCTCTTCCCATCCGGGTACATCATAACGTCCTACATGGGAAAACCAGTCAATGTCATGGTTCGTGGTGATGAAAACGGGAGACTGCCAATGTTGCCTTGGTCCAGTAAGTTTCATATCTTTCCATCGCCCACATTAGACTGACGTTCTCAGCTTTGCCATCCATATTAACCCTCGACCTTCCTACATTGTCCCGATACTCCCACACCGGTCCTCTATCCCTCCACCAAATTTTCATTCAAACCCGTCCTCCTCGATGCTCTCTAGCCTCCACACTCCACATTCTCCGGCCCATGGATTTCTTTGCCGGAAACATAGCAAATCTTCACCCTTCTGAGCTACTCGTTCGTACCGAGACGCAAATGTTTGCGCGTCTACCTAAATCGGGTGCTGTGATTGTAACAACACGGACGAGTACTGAGACAATAAGCGACATGGTTGAAAGAATGAATGTGTGGGAGAAAGAAACCTTTCTGAAGACAGTGAACGGGTGGGGACCTGAGGAAGCGAGGTTCAAGGGGAGAGAGTTGTGGATTGGGGTTGTGGAACGGTGTTTGAAAGGTTAGTGTCTAGGCTCTTGTTTTAAATACTAGAGCCTCGACTTTTACGGCTTGCTGACAGATTTTAACAGGTCAGAGTGCGTTCAGGGATGATATGACGGTTTGTAGTAGACTGTCGGCTATGTAAACAATCAGGTGAGCGATTCATGAATAATGCAATATATTGGAAATCTTGGAGTACGAGCACGAATATTTCGCAATCGCACTGGAATGCGCCCAGATGGTGGTTGTAGCTTTTTTCAATACTAACGTCTAGGTGGTGGTATAGAATACACAGCCACCCGTTCGCTACCGTACAACGACGACAAGGGAGCACGAAAATACTTTTCTCACTTCAATGTACTTCACTATTCTTTAACTCAATTATATCAAGATGGTTAATACTACCTCACTCAGTGTGGTAGCAGCCACGCTCAACGCTGCCAACATACCTACCTTCACACGTATCGTGACTACCACCATGGTTACTCCCACACTCGCTACAGTAATATCCACCACTTCGTCGACAAAAACCACTATATTCCCCACCAGCACTATCCCCACAACCCTCGGTAGTCTCCAAACTTTCCCATCCGAGCACATTCAAAATACACAAGGCGACTGTCGCCCTCAAGCTCCAGGCTACGGCCCTGTCCCAGAAGAAGACAACGTGTCGTCCTTCTACACGTCTCCATTAATTCGCACTCCAGCTCTAGAGGCTACCACACCCCATGGCTATACCCTCGCCTTTTGTGGGGCGAATGCATCATATGTCGGCACGAACTACCTTGGATATCACGAACTGGAAGCATACAGTCCAACCGAGTGTGCGAGTAGATGTCTCATGTGGGGGAGATCTAACCTAGACGGCGAGCCAGAAGTTTCATCGACCACTCTGTTCCCAAACGGATTCGACTACTCCGCTACACCTACCAGCACACCCACGTTACGTGCGCAGATGTGCAACAGCTTCAATATCTATTTTGAGCGCTCCCCATCTATTAATCTGGGAGAAGAGTGTCAGGACGCGAATAGTCGCACTATCGTTAAATGTGCACTTTGGGGCGAGGGAAATATGCGCGAAGAGTGTGCGACAAATACAGGCTACAAGAACTGGAAATTCGAAATTGTTATTGCGGGGAGCAACGGCTATGTTTTGGGTATGGGGAAGGAAAAGAGCAATGAGGAGAATTCAAAGACTTCTGAGGGTGAGAAGAGTGTCAAGGTGGATATGTTGCAGCGTTCATGAATAGGTTTGTGGTGGGTGCTGCGCTGGCTTCCTTAATAGTGGTGCATATGGAATTTTGAGCTTGAACCATAGGTACCTAGCTGTTCCTACGTGACTTCTCCATAGTATCCAGAATAGACAGTGTGGCAAGACTTACCTCATGTCGCCTTGATTTCCTAGTACATCGTTCGTGTAGGGTTTTTGGTATCGTTTGTGTCGCGGAAGTTGCGAACGTTTGAGGTTATGTCCACTCTCTGCCTAGGTAGATATGCTCGGTGCAACACCACAAGGGTATATTTGATCGGTGATGGGTTATCGCAAGTAAATTCATCATATGCAGAACTGTTTGGAGTCATCGCTGTTGTAGTCTTGAACTTGCGTCACCTGTACGACTTCCAGCTACTGCTATAGATATCTTTAATCTCTTCCAAACTTTTCCATCATTCTACGTCAGTCGATAGAAAGGCCACTACTGTGAAACTTTTACAGCGGTGCTGTTTTAATGCTGACAGGTCAAAAAGAAGCGCGTCAACGCTTTTGACTTAGACATGCTTGCAACGATTACCTTGATTAAGAATGCAAACATAATCTTATCGGAAGTTTCGCTGGAGCTTTGTCAGGGCATTGCAAAGGCAAAAAAAGAAGACTGAGTCTTTTGTGTGTGCCCACTACCCGAATCGCTTAATTTGAGTCAGTGTCTGGCTCGTACGCAATTCGAACGCAGACAAACTTACAACGAGTGATCTTCGCATTACAAGTGCGACGCCTTACCGCTTGCTGTAAATGTTTTTAGCAGGCGTTACTCGGATCACGCTGTGGTAAACTTACGCCAAGCGGGCGATGATATGCCTGTCATGAGAAAAATCTCGATTTTGGACGTATATGTTCTTGGCTATCAAGATTCCGAGACCCGCAAGCTCGCAAATACTGCGCATTGTTGTCAAGCATGTAATTGGTGCGGGGCTTTACCCTGACTAGTTTCCTGTGTCAAGGGATTGCAAGAGTACCCCACGATTGGTAGTGCTCTGTGGCAACGGCCGGGGTTTCCAAGGTCAGCCTCACCCTTGTCCCGCGGTTAGTTGGAGGGAAAGCTCCGACCATCGCTACATCATCGCAGCAAAGGCCAAGCAACACGTACACCAATACTTTCACCCTACGTCCCACTGTCATCTCACAGTCCTTTCCGATGATATATATCACTCGTCCACGTTGAGATATAATCTTACACAACCGAACCTCTCGACCGAAAATAAAGTTGGTGGCGGAGCCAACATGGCGGATACGGACATCGCATCTCTCACAGCCGACCAGCAAGCCGCGCTTCAACAATACACCGCTGTTACCGACCAAGCGACATCTGATGCGATACCGATACTCCAACGCGCGCAATGGAATGTCAATATAGCGGTCACGCGCTTCTTCGACGGCGAACCGACCGAAGACCCAGTGGCTGCTGCTGCCGCCCAACTACCACCGCCCCAAGACGTCCGCCGACAAGAGACACTACTAAACGGTTTTGCCTCACCACGATCATCTACAAGTAGTGGGAGGAGAGTGAGGACAGAACCTGCTCCGAGGGTGGTCCCACAGCCAGAAAGCCAAGTCAGTACACAAGTTCCGCTAGTACTGGCTATATTCTTTGCGCCATTCTCGCTCGTGTACTCCCTATTTGCGAAATCCTTCCGGTTGTTAGGATGGATCTTTCCCTTCCTCCCGCGCGCATGGGGGAGGGTTACAGCTAGCAACATCAACACACCTGCCTCTCAGCGCAGCGCGAGCGGGCGCCGACCTTTGAACCCACGAGACACAGCGGCGCGTTTCATCCGCGAGTTCGAGGAGGAATATGGAAGTCACAACCTGCCGTTCTTCGAGAGCGGATACGCCCAAGCTTTTGATCTAGCGAAGAAGAACCTACAGTTCTTAATGGTGGTGCTGGTCAGCCCAGAGCATGATGAAACATCATCCTTTGTACGGGATACACTTCTTTCGCCAGAGGTCGTGGAGTTCGTACGAAACCCCGAGAACAACATCATACTTTGGGCTGGCAACGTGCAAGATTCCGAGGCATATCAAGTTTCCGCCGCCCTGTCGTGCACCAAATTCCCGTTCACGGGTCTCATTGTACATACACCCCAAGTTTCGTCAACAGCTATGGGGATTGCCGCGCGTGTAGCTGGTCCTACGCCCCCACAACAATACATTGCCAAGCTACGACAGGCAATGCAGCAACACATAGAGCCGCTCAATCGCGTGCGTAGTCAGCGCGCGGAACAACAAGCGACACGAAACATCCGAGAACAACAAAATAGCGCATATGAACGCTCACTCGCAGCTGACCGAGAGAAAGCTCGCAAGAAGAAGGAGGAAGCAGAGCGCAAAGCTCGAGAAGAAAAGGAAGCACTCGAACGCGAACAAGCCATCGAACGATACGCACAAAATCTCGCGCAATGGAGGCAATGGCGCGCTGCATCTATACGCTCTGAGCCCGAGCCTGAGGAAAAGGACATCGTGCGCATCAGTCTTCGTATGCCGAATGCAGAGCGCGTGGTTCGCAAGTTCGCTGCAGATGCACAGATCGAGGAACTCTATGCATTCGTCGAATGCTACGATATCCTGCAATCTGAGGTAGGTGTACAGGAGAACATAGAGAAACCAACAGATTTCGAGCATGAGTACAAGTTCCAACTCGTTAGCCCTATGCCGCGCGAGGTATATGAGCTCAAGACTGGTGGTACGATTAAAGAGCGTATCGGACGGAGCGGTAATCTGATTGTTGAGCGGACCGATCTAGAAGATGAAGAGGAAGACGACGAGCAGTAATCGCATGAAGATGAGCATTGGACTGGCGTTACAATATCTACTCGACTTAGCGTGGGACGTGGATATCCACTTAGGTTCTCGATACGACGTTTACGTTGACCATGAATGTAAGAATGTATGTATAACGTTATACATGACTTTCTCTATTTTCAGTGCTTCGGCCGTTCCTTGATCCATGTAACTCAGTATATGCTTGCCAAGATCGTCGATACCACAGCCACAATTCCGTGTTCCGGATATTTGAGTCGCACAGCCTACGGCAGCTTCGGGAGCACAGACCATGTTTTAGCGTGAAGGCAGACTGCCCGATTTCGTCACGCATCCTAAGCTTTTGATCGTCCACTGTCATCACGTTCCCTAAACAAACCACCGATATGATCCTCGCAGCGACAAGATAACATGGAAAGAGCTAAGACTCGCAAGCCCCATAAGAAGTCGCGAAACGGCTGCTTACCATGCAAAGGCCGCCATGTCAAAGTGCGCCTTCCCATTCGAATCTTGAATTCTACATACGACTGACCATCTTCAAGTGCGACGAGCAAAAGCCAAATTGCGCAAACTGCGTAAAGCAAGGCACCGTGTGTGAATATCGACCATCCACGGGCCAAGAGAGTCGTGAGGCTTCGAACGTGTCGCCTTTACCGATTGGAACGCCAGCTTTTACGCCATCATCCACAGATGGCACTTCCGGTTTTCTTGACCAACAACCACTACCAGATTTTGGATCCATCACTATCAATGGCGCTTCCAGTCAACCAGATTTGGCATTGAATATACCCCAACTACGATTGCTCCAGTACGTACTCTCATGTGTGATTGAGTCTCTCAGTACATGACTGTGGTTCCATGGTCTGGTATGATCTCAACGAGCAACAGAACTTTTTTATCGATGTACAAGAAAGACACCTAGAAGCGTAAGCTAATTGCGTGGGTAGTCACTACACGACCGTCACAGCCAAAAGTCTCGCAGCGCATACTGACGCCGAGGACGTATTTACAACTACTTTGATACAGATTGCATTCGATCATCCATATCTTCTCCAAGCGGCTCTTGCACTCAGTGCGTTACACTTGAGCCGAACTGCAGGACCAGAAGAGGCCCAACAATACTCGTACCAAGCTGAGAAATACCATGAAGCGTCTCTGCTCAACTTCCAGACAATGGTTCGCGATATCGATCCTTCGAACTTTAAAGCAGTCCTATTGTTTGCCGGCACGCTGTTCCCGCATGCGTGTGTCGCTTCACTTGCAATCCACAATGATTTGGATCATGTGTTCGACAGCGTTCTTTCCAATCTCGTCCTGACTCGGAGAATTAGACCCATGGTAACAGGGGTCTATGAACAGATGAAGGAGAGTGAATTAGGTCGTGTGATTCCAGACGACGTCAAGAATATCAATTGGCAGACCGAAGAGCAACCACCCAATACTGAGCTCGTACAGCTCCGCAAGTTCTCCGAGGTCGTCCATCACGTTTACCCTCCCGACATTGTCGATGCATATGGATATGCCTGTCATATCCTCGAGCTCGTATTCCAGGTTGCAGAGAAATCTACGAAGCCGCCTTCCGACGCTTTGTTGAAGATATGGATACATCTTGTCTCGGACCGCTATATCGAGCTCTTATCGGAGAGGCAACCAGGATCTTTGATCATCTTTGCACACTTTGCTGTCATCATGCATAGAGCAGCAGAGAACTACTGGTATCTGGAAGGAGTCGCGGAGCAGATACTTCTCATTGCAGATCACATGGTCCCTAGTGAATGGAAGTCGTGGTTGCAGTGGCCGAAGGAGCAGATTCGTGGTGCCTCCGTACCGCCGACGCCATATTCAGGGCATACGACATGAAGCCTGAAATTGATGCGGGCTTCTACCGCCCCTCAACGTCATGCCCTCGAACTGCAGATACCTCCAGCCTGCTTTGAAGTGAGCCCTTGGTTCATGAAACAGGCCGTTCGATGCGGCAATGCTGCCCATTGCGGAGACACTGGACCGTGATTTTGCTTGACGGTTACCAACAGACGTGCAGCTATTGCATCGAAACAATATCTTAACACCAAATCGGCATTGTTTGTTCCTCTTGTCAAACTGCTTTGGGAAATGCTTGCGAGGAGTGCTTGGTAGGCTTGATAAAGTCTTAAGTCGTAAGTGAAAGCGGCCTAGCTCAAGTACCCACCCACTTACTTACTATGCAGACCACCGTTATCGACAATAATCGATCGACTTGAAAGAATCATACCCTGATCCAGGTACATTGAGGAGGAGGCTGTGCGAAACGAGCGAGGCAGACAGCTTTTCTATCTGCACCGACTACGAGAAGCGTAACGACGTATTCTGGACGCGACACTGAAGACTTTTGTCCTGCTACTCCGTGTTTGATGCTACTATACGCGGACAGCTAATGTATGAGTTCGAGCCATCACCCAAAGAATGATAGAAAAGAGTGGAGCCGAGTATTCACAGAGCAATGCGATTGGCGCGTCGTATCCGAGGACGCTAGTCGTATGCACAGACCGCACGCCTCCTTCCCTGAGGCATCTACATATCCCAACGGGCGGCGGGAAGGGGTTGCTCGGGCAATCTATGTACGGGTCTAGAGGATCTATGTACGAGATACGGCTAGGTGGGCTGTGCCCCACAAGTATCCGTTGCGACTTCTATACATAAAGACCATGCCATTTATTTCTCCATCAGCCAACCCCAGTTAAAACACCACTACTTCAACGGTGTACCACCTCAAAAACTACTCATACCATCTAGTTCAGTACTTGTCTCTCTGATCTGGTTCTGTTATATCAGACGGGCTCTTACCGCTGACGCCTACCGCGTACACCTAATCCCCACCACAAGATGTCGACACCAGCAGATGACTCCTCAGCGGTGCCAGAGTATGTGCTCTGGCCGTACACCCCCACCATCGCAGCCGGTGCCATCGCCGCTGTCGTTATGTTCATACTGTTCTTCATTCACACATTCCGCCTCGTCAAGAATAAGACATGGTTTTGTATACCGTTCGTCATTGGAGCTCTGGTACGTACTTTGCTACCCAATTTTTCCCAGCTTCTACACATGAACATACTTGAATAGATAACAAGGTGCTAACATCCGCCCTAGTGTGAAGCTATAGGTTACTCTGCTCGTGCCGCAGCCCACAACGATACCGAAGGCAAAACACCGTACATCATCCAGTCTACACTCATTCTCCTGGCGCCCATCCTCTTCGCCGCTTCCATCTACATGATTCTCGGTCGTCTTATCCGACGTACGGACTCTGCTGAGTACTCTCTGATACGGGTCAACTGGTTGACCAAGATCTTCGTTGGCGGCGACATTCTGTGCTTGTACGTCCCTACATATTGTTCACAATTTGTATGAACAACCATATTAACCTGGATCCTAGCTTAATTCAAGCCGGTGGTGCTGGTATGCTCGTCTCAGCCAATGACAAAGACGGTTTCAAGCGCGGCGAGAACATCATCCTCGGTGGACTGATCCTTCAAATCCTTATCTTCGGCTTCTTCGTCGTCGTAGCGAGTATCTGGCACGTACGACTCCAAAAGGGACCTACAGCTTCATCCGCGGATATCCCGTGGACGAAGCTGATCTGGTTCTTGTATGCGGCTAGTGTCTGTATCACTATCCGTAACCTTTGCAGGGTTATTGAATACGCTATGGGAAAGGTACGCTCCACTTCCGCTTCTTGTGCATTTGGACAGATTGCTAACAGAGCATAGGATGGTTACCTACTTTCGCACGAATGGCCCATCTACGTCTACGACTTCCTGCCTATGATGATCACGCTTGTCGTATGCATCTGGTGGTACGACCCGAACATCAAGCCGCGTCCCAAGACCGACATCGAGTTCGCCCGCCGATAGGTTGGTCGACGGTATATGAGAGCAGGAGGCCGGCCTAAGGGAAGCCTGATAATAGAAATGGAAATGTACCTACTGGTACAGCATGTTTGTTTTCTTTGTGTAGCGTTCAGGTTTATGCGTTTTGAATATGGGAAGAGTGCTTCGAAAGCAGTAGCTCATGGAGACATCATGACAAGGATCGTCGTAGATACCTTATATAGCTTATGCGGATCTTTTTGGATCTGACGCTTTGCCCGTTGCCATCTCCGTCGTGCTTTTATGTTGTTATTGCTTTACTAATGAACTGACTTTGGACATCTGGCTTTGCTCGTATTGGAGGCACTCAAGAAACATCAACCACTCAGTCTTAAAGTTGGGTTTAGCCATATATCTTCTTGGTGACGCTATCCACATCCAGACTACTCGCGGAATCAAGTCATGGGTACTTCACACCTGTCTCTTCTACCGCCCTTTCTCTCCACATTACTTAAACCTCATGAACTCCAAGTCCTCTACTCTTGCCTTTCTCGTGCATCGTCAACCGCCTTGTCCCAATTATAGAACTTCATGTAAATACCCTCCGTTATCGTAATGCAGCTCGAGCCTACCGCACACCCAGTCCAAAGTCCCACCAACTTCATATCCTGTTTGAAACAAAGGAAAAGTGCCAACGGCACAGCAATAACATAATAAACAAAAAGGTTACACCACCCTCCAATATTTTGCTTGCCCAAGCCGCGGAGAAGTGCATTTACTAGTGCAGTGGTGGAGTCGGCGAATTGGAAAGCGGCAAGCAGAGGTAGTACGGTGGCTACTATGCTGACGACTTCCGGATCGCTTGTAAATGCTTTGGGAAGGATATTTCGGCAAGCAGTCAAGAATGCAAAGTCAATGAGGCCGATGGCGAGGAAGGTCAACACGTAGGTTTTTGTGGCGGTACGGGCTGCGGAGAGGGAACCCGCGCCGATTAGGTTGCCCAAGCGTGTTGAAACAGCCACGCCGACAGAGAAAGGTACGTGGTAAATAGCTACTGCCAGTGTCATGACGCTTCTGATGTCAGTATTTTTTGATGCGTTAAAGAGGAGTAGTTCTTACATCGACTGCGCCGCCAAGTGGGCTGTGGAAAGATAGCTTGTCGAGAAAGTAAGAATGTCCTGTAGCAAAATTAGCATACAGTCGATATTCGCAGATACACGATCCAGAACTTACAAAAGCAAGCCACTCCGTCTCCACCATGACGATGCCTGGGACGGCCAATTTTGCCATGGGTCCCCAATTCGTAAAAGCAGCTTTGGTAAAGCCACCCCAACATTCCAGCGAAGATGGATTGACAAAGTACACGTAAATCCAGAGCAACAACGGTAAAAGGTTATTGGAAATGACAGTCGCAAGTGCAGCACCTGTAAGGTCCCAATCCAGAACAAAGACGAAAACATAGTTCAAAGCTATGTTAATGGGCGTTGCAATAAGCAAGACGAAAAGCGAAGCATTGAAAAGGCCTTGGGCTTGCGTAAACCGCTTGCCGGCTTCAAAGATGGCGTAGCCCGGTGCTCCGGCAAGAAGTAAAGAGAGGTAGTATCCAGCAAGATGCGCGATTGCTTTTTCCGGAACAAGGGCTGCGAGGATCCAGCCAGAACACAGCCAGATCGCTCCGATGGGAATGGTAACAGCCAGCATGAAGAGTATCATGCGCTGAAGATGGAGGCCCACCATGGTCTTCCTTCCGGAACCATAGGCCTGCGCGCAGAGGGTATCTAGCGATGTGGCCAGCCCTTCGTAGATTGCAAGTCCGGTGATGTTGGCGGTCATCGTAGCTAGAGATACTGCACCAAGCTCATCCGTCCCGACTATAGGGGGTGTCAATCAGCTTGCGTCCGAAACTCTTTCTGTTCTGAGTACTTACTATGCCCCACGACAAATATGGTGACAAGACTGAACGAGTATTGCAGCAAGTACGTCCCCATAAGCGGAACGCTGTACTTCAGTAGCAACTTGGCTTCCTGTCCCGCCGTTGTTCCCAGCTCTTCTGTCGTCCCCTCTCCTCCCAGTAAACTCTCAATCTCTGAAGGATCAGGAATTGCGCCATATTGACGCTGCTTCGCCGCGTTGTCGTGCGATTTGAGTAAGCCGACGCGTTCAGCCGTACTCGTGGAAAACCTGCGCGCTTCTGGAGCGTCCATTGTGTTGTATGTAATGCCACCACCAGAGGTAAAGGGGAATGGAACAAATCCTAGCGCTAAAGACGAAATGTCATTATCGTATTCCAGGTGTTTGACTTCGTTGTACTTGTCGACTTTGTCTCGCTGCGGCTGCGATGTTAGAGTCGTCGGCTCGGGCTGCCAGAGTGGGGCGAGCAGCTGGGCCTCTGCCGTCAATGGCGTATCTCGGCGCATGGCGATATCGGGCAGCTTGCAGCGAAGCAGTAAAGCGTCGGAGGACTAACGAGGGGTGGGCATAGTCTTCCTGTGCCGTGTGGAGTTTCTGTGCGACAGATTGCCCTGATGCGGGAATGTTTGTCCAGAGTCTGCAGCTTTTCACAAGATTTTGTGGTGCAAGAGGGCACTGTCATGGCTCATTTCCCGCGCCAGCATGTTGTCAGGGTCTCCGCTGCTCTTGTTGCCATGTTTACTGCGAACTTTGCCTGCACCTACCATTCGCAACGGCGGGCCGTCGAGATAGTCTGGTAAGAGCGAGGCGGTCGGGCAGCTTGGGGTGCGTGGCGATGATCGTACCATCGTAACGCGCATCGGAAGTAATCCCATTGGCAAGGAATGGTTCGTGATTCAATCATCTCCGAGACACCCGGAATCGCGACGTTGCGCTACTGTCGAGTATGCATGGGAATTACCTCACTGAGCATACCCAGACATGCGCGAACTACCTGGCTAGAGATAGAGAAGACAGTTCGTCTGAATCTTATCGTTCGAGGCGCTCGCGTGTGCGATTGTCCTTGGAGCCTGGCAGATCTGCGTGTAGCTTTTCGTCAACAAACCACCTAGCACTCGTCGTCAGTGCATCCTCCATCGTCCTTACATCGATAGTGATATCTATCTTTATCAGTTTGAGCGTCGTGTACAACAGATGGTAATCTGTTGTCATTGTCCAGATCGGTGGTGGAGCACACCAAGGTAATGTAGAGCAGCGATGTCTCAAATGCGACCGGCACAGTAGCTCTGAATCGTTTGTGTCGCTGACAAGAACTAGATGTCAGCACAACGTTGATATAATAGGATACAAGCTGCAGCAAGCCACAAATCTTGGGGCCCATCGGCACAAGTGGTACGCCGTGCCCAGGAAAGCCATCCTGTACCCGGGTGTCCAAAGTCATCAACACATCTCATATGAGTTCCGATCTTGGCTTGCGTCTCGGCACATTCTAGAATCTCCGTCACATCTTCAAGCACCCTCCCCGCAATTGTATCTCTAGAATGCGCGCTTCGACGTCCAAATTGTAGCTCACACAATCTGTCGTTCAGCATTTAGATCCAGCCTGTGTACCAGCACAAAGATAGCCTTTTTCCTCATCTCCGGTGTCAAGTTTATAATACAGCTCCGTATGTGTTTCGGATGATAGAATGCTTAGTGTTTCTATTTACTACATCTATTGCGCCTTAAGGGACCCATCTCGTATGTTCTAGATCCACAGCCCGCAATCTCTATCCCGCAGCTCCGTTTCTTAGTCTATACTCCACCGCTTAACGTGCCGGGACGCGATTTCCAGATCCGGAATAGCTAGATGCTTGTAGTCTTCGCATATGGATGTCAAATGGTGAACAGAAAACATGGATGTAATTGAATACAGACGAAGAAGGGCGAAACGAGTACAGTGCTGTTTGGTATTCGTAATGAAGACAAGAACAAATCTTGCCGTGAAAGAAATAATAGCTTACAATTCAAGACCCGGACAGCAGAAGACTTCTACGCTGTTTGCGCACCTGAACAGGAATGGCTACTATATGCCACTGAAACTCTCAGGACTTCACACTTCGTCGATCTTGATTCTTGTTGATGATAGTGGTAGGAGAACCAGAAAGTCTCCGTTTGTTTTCTGGTCCTCTCATTACATTGATATCTGATGCAGCGTTTCTTGCCGATCTTGAGGTAATCAACAAGCTACCAGGATAAGTGCACAGGGTCAAGGACTCTTTGAATATAACCTCGCATAGCTAAAAACATCTTTTATCTCTGTCTCGCACCTATATTGTTACCAAGAATCTTTGTACAACAATAGGTAACATCACTTCGAGCCTAGCGCTGTATGTCTCAACCACGCCTATACTATTAGCCATGTATCAATGCATCCATACTACCTAGGAAACATTCACTCATTTCCACATGATACTCCAGCTCTTTTCGACCACGAAGATGCCCCGTATGCATTGCAAAGCAGCAAGGCGTACAAGTCGGTCTTCATGTCGTATCGTGGCTTTCTCTCTAGGTACCTTGCAGACCAAAGAAGGTAACCCAAGCCTTCGTTCACTCATACGCTACATAATGACATTCTCCCGGTGGCACAATCCAACCCAACTACACACATGTCTTACATCCTACATCACCCCATCATCCTTATGTCCTCCCTCAATCCTTATTCCCACACCCGCTCATCCCACCCGCTCTATCCGAATTGGGGTCCCAACAAAAAGAATCACTAATCACTAACTCGCACGTACAACCCGCATAACTCATGCTATGCGCAATATGCCCTAGACATGAATCGTGAGTTCGCCTCAAGCATACAATGCACAACTCGCAAGAAGTAAGTAAACCGGTTGGCGTAGCGGACACAAGAGCCAAGTCCATCTACGTAATGACGTCCGTGTTCCGCGATGCCGCCGAGCATATCATTACATGAAGCTATGATCTGCCCAGTCCGCCGAGTCGTGAGCAAGCGCGGGGTGGGGGCAGAACTGACCGCACCAACAAGCGAACAGAGAGAGGCAAAATTGAGACTAAGGCCTATACGTAAATGGTATCCCGCCCTACCTACGCGTGCGGAGTGCTCTGTGCTGCCCCTCCATTCTCCCATCCGCCCGCTATTTGTTCCGCACCATAGACGGGATGATGGAATGGGAAGAAAAGCCCCAACCAATGCCCCGCGAATAGAGATTGCGTCAAGGGGTATCCTGTTCCGTGTGTCTCAATGAGCGGAAAGTATCGGCAACTGTTCATTCCGACCGCACAACTGCATTCATGGCGTGACATTTTCAGAAAAAAGCCGGATCGTAGGTTTCTTCAACGGGCGGTTTTCTACTGGTGGTACAGATCTTCCACAAACCAAAAACCTATATCGGGATTTGGTGCATGTCTAGGATTATACTGTACTGTACTATACTACACTATACGCATCAAGCATAGTCTTTAGCATAACGTGTGCAAGCTTTGAACATCCGAACCGACCTCTCAACCCCACGAAAACGACGCATGGAAAAGGGCCGAGTGCGCGTCGATGCGAAGAGCAAGCGGCAGACACCGCGGAAAAAATCTCACGTGTTGAACAGCAATGCATATGGTGGAGTACGTGCCTACCGCCGCGCTGGGACACAGCCAAAGGGAAAAGGAACAACGTGCTGATCAATCGCGCACACGCGCACGCGCGCGCCATTTGTCGGTAAAGGAGAAGACGCGACGACGCAATGCGACGCGTGTTCTGCAAGGAGAATCTGTTGTGTCTGATGGCCATTGGGGAGTTGTCCTTTTTTCTCTCGCATGCTGAGACTGGGATTGTTAGAGTGAGGCTCAGCGAGTGACGATGCATTGCATATGAATTGTAGTTGGTTGGCGATGATCGCTGGGATGGGATGTGCGCGTGGGTGGGCGGCTCCGAAGACCGCAGGTGCACTAAACGTTGAACACGTACTGCCGCCGCAGCAATCATGGTTTGAAGGTTTGTTGAATGCGCAGCCATGTGGTGAACTCGTGAATTATCAATTATTCGAGTATTATGAGTGCATTTGTAATCGCACATATACACGAGACGGAGCTCAAGAGTAGTAAGAAAAATGTGATGAGACAGAGACCGTAGAAGATTTCGTTATGTGATATGAAGAACGAAAAACCATTGACAATGTAGTCTATGAAGTAATCCCAGCCCGTAAAGGAAAAGGCCAAATCCTGGCTTGCAGACATGGAACCAATCAGAGGGTTCTTACATGGAGATAACGCCAGAGAAATGCAATGGACAATATGTACAGACCGAATGAATCGAATATCGACAGTGAAATGAACGCTAATGCAGAGAGGAAAATCAATCGGGCCTTGCGAGGATTGCGGCAATGGCATCACATGGAGCACAAGGCTGGGGTTTGCGTTTCGGTGCTTCGGCAGCTGGTGGAGGACATATACACTCGTCGTCAGCGGGTACGAAGACGGAAGTTCGACGTGCTTGCGTTAGGCCTGGAGCATCCATTGGCACGAAGAACGATTCACGGCGATCGTACTGCGGTGTGCAACATCCATCCTCAGAAGCAAGGAAAACGGATGGCCGTCTCGAGAAATGGCCAGCGGAGGGCGCGTCGTCACATGAGGGGTACGCAGTGCCCCAGAAAGGCAGCTTTGGAGGTGTGCCCTGACCATTGTATGGTACGTAAATGGATCCACCACGCGGTCTGAGAAAGGGGCTTGGGTCGTCAAAGTCCTCAAAAGGACTCTCGTTGGCACTCTTATCCGACTCCTCTTTTGTGGCCTCGAGGTGTGATTTTTGTAGCGCGATCTCGAGTTCTTCAGCTGAAAAGGGTTGTGAGGGATTACGAGTGCGGTCGGAGCCAGTGGCGGGTCTCGATGTTAGCTGAACGGAACTGGAGCGGCGAGCGGCTTGTCGACGAGCGTCACGAGGGTCTTCGGTTGGATTGCGAGAGAGGCCGACTAGGCACGTCAGTAAAAGATCGGTCATATATACGTAAGATAAAACACACCATTGAGCACGTCGCCTTCGTCGTCGGAGGCCTCTTTGATATTTGCGGGCCTGTCGTCACCAGCGATGCTCGCTCCGATGCCGCTGTCTACCCACTCTTCAGCATCGTAGTCTGAAGAGCAGCTTCCTCTCCGACTTCGGTGCATACTACGACTGCGGCTGCGTCTCCTGAAACTACTCCTACGGCTCGGTAGCCTGCTACCCATGGGTGAATACAGCGAGGCGTTGCTGTGCCGGCGCCATGCTGTCGAAAAGCTGAATTCCTCGAGTTTCTTCTTGTGTTCGGGATCGACGGCGCGACGGTATTTTAGCGGAGGCATCTTCTCGCCAGGCTTGTAGAAATCAGATTCTGGCTCCTCTGGTTTTGCATTCTTGTGTGAGCCAGCAGTAAGAACGCGCTTTAAGCGAGTGCGAAGGTGGCCAGGCATTGTGGGCGAAGAGTATAGTTGAACCGGAACGTGTAAGCCAGCACAGGAATAGCGA